CATTTTGGAGAGCAATTTGGAACTATGCCCAAAGGGCTATAAAAATGTGCATTCCCTTTGACCCAGCAATAGTACTTCTACAGCTATATCCCAGAGAGATCATACAAATGGGAAAAGGACCCATATGTACAAAAATATTTATAGCAGCTCTTTTCATGGTGGCAAAGAATTGGAAATTAAGAGGATGCCCATAAATTAGGAAATGGCTGAACAAGTTGTGGTATATGAATGTAATGGAATACTATTGTATTATAAGAAATGATAAGCAGGGGGCAGTTAGGTGGCACAGTGGATAGAGCACCAGCCCTGAAGTCAGGAACACCTGAGTTCAAATCTGGCCCCATATCAAATACTTGACATTTACTAGCTGTGTGACCCTGGGCAAGTCACTTAACCCCAACTGCCTAAAAATAAAAAAAATTTAAAAATTTAAAAAAGAAAGAAAGAAAGACATGATGAGAAGACAGACTTTAGAAAAACCTGGAAAGACTTGTATGGTCTGATGCAGAGTGAAGTAAGCAGAACCAGGAGAATGATGTATACAATAACAGCCACATTGTGCGATGACTAATATTGATAAACTTAACCCTTCCCAGCAATACAAGGATCTAAGACATCTCCAAAGGCCTCATGATGGAAAATGCTATCCACAAAGAATGAACTATGGAGTTTGAATGTAGATCGAATCATACTATTTGCTATTTTTTTTTCTTTTGTGTTTTGTTTCTGGTGGTTCCTCCTATTGGATCTAATTCTTACTTATAACATCACTAACGTGAAAATATGTTTAATAGGAATGTATACATACAGCCTACATTGGATTGCGCACCATCTTGGGGAAGGATGGGGAGAAAAATTTAAAACTCAAAAGCTTATGGAAGTGATTATTGATAATTCAAAATAAATTAATAAAAAAAAAAAGACAGGGGCAGAGTCAAGATGGCGGAGTAAAAGCAGTGACTTGCTTGAGCTCTCCCCTAAACCCTTCCAAATACCAGTAAAAAATTACTCTAAACAAATTCTAGAGCAGCAGAACCCACAAAAAAGATAGAGCGAAACATACTTCTAGCCCAAGACAACCTGGATACTTAATGGGAAAGTTCTGTTGCACTGGGCTAGAAGAAGAGTACAGTTCAGCATAGGGCCCCAGCAAACCCAGTGTCAGTCTCAGGGGACTGAATCACTGGTATCTGTGCTGGTTTCCAGACTTCTCAACCCACAAATTCCAAAGACAACTTAGAAGGTTAGTAGGAAAGGTCTGTCAGACTTAGGTGACAGAGGAATGTGGTCCAGCAGCAACTGATTCCAGAGCTCTTGGCCCACAGACAGAAGGGAGGGGTGGGGGTGGGCGTGACAAATGGGTGATCAAAGGGGAATCTCTTTGATGGCACTGAGGCAGGATTCTCTTGCTTTGCCTGTGCTTGGATCTGGGTCCCAGTTCTTGGGTGGAAGTCCTGGGGTGAAGAGGAGTGCTGGCATGGCGGAGTTTGTGGTGGTGGTGGATAGGGAATCCTCCTCACAGTTCCAAGGCAGAAAGGAGTCTTGCGGTCACTCATAGACCAGAGCACAGGCCAGGAAAGGAGTAAATACCTCTCCTTTGAACACACCACCTTGGAAGAACTGAAAATTTACAGGTCCCTAGAAGTTTCTCTGAAAACAACTGCACAAAACCCCTGAAGCTTGGGACAGTAAACCCTCCACACTGGAAGGAGAGCCTATCTTAACAAAGAGTTAAAATGTCAAATAACTGGGTAGAAACATGAGCAGGAAGCAGGAAAAAAAAAACCTCAGACTACAGAATCTTACTTTGGTGACAAAGAAGATCAAAATATACCACAAAGTCAAAGCTCCTATATCCAACGCCTCCAAGAAAAATATGAATTGATCTCAGGCCATGAAGAGCTCAAAAAGGATTTTGAAAAGCAAGTAAGAGAAGTACAGGAAAAATTGGGAAGAGAAATGAGAGTGATGCAAGAAAATCATGAAAAACAAGTCAACAGCTTGCTAAAGGAGACCCAAAAATACTGAAGAAAATAACACCTTAAAAAAGACTAACTCAAATGGCAAAAGAGGTCTAAAAAGCTGATCAGGAGAAGAATGTCTTAAAAAGCAGAATTGGCCAAATGGAAAAGTGGGTCCAAAAGCTCACTGAAGAAAGTAATTCCTTAAAAATCAGAATGGAACAAATGGAAGCTAATGACTCTACGAGAAATAGAGAAATTGTAAAACAAAACCAAAAGAATGAAAAAATAAGGGTCAGCTAGTGGCACAGTGGATAGAGCTCTGACCTTAGAGTCAGGAGGACTTGAGTTCATATCTGGCCTCAGACACTTGCCACTTACTAGCTGTGTGACCCTGGGTAAATCACTCAAGCCCAATTGCCTCACCAAAAAGAAAAAAAAGAATGAAAAAATAGAAGACAGTGTTAAAAATCTCACTGGAAAAACAAATGATCTGGAAAACAGATCCAGGAGAGATCATTTAAAAATTACTGGACTACCTGAAAGCCAAGATCAGAAAAAGAGCCTAGATATCATCTTTCAAGAAATTTATCAAGGAAAACTGCCCTGATATTTTAGAACAGAGGGTAAAATGGAAATTGAAAGAATCCACCAATCACCTCCTAAAAGAGATCCCAAAAGGAAAATTCCTAGGAATATTACAGCCAAATCCCAGAGTTCCCAGGTCAAGGAGAAAATACAGCAAGCAGCCAAAAAGAAACAATTCAATTATTGTGGAAACACAATCAGAATAACATAAGACTTAGCAGCTTCTACATTATGGGAGTGGAGCGCTTAGAATACAATATTCCAGAGGTCAAAGGAGACAGGATTACAGACAAGAATCACCTACCCAGCAAAACGGAGTTTAATCCTTCACGGGAAAAAATGGTCATTCAATGAAATAGAGGACTTTCAAGCATTACTGTTGGAAAGACCAGAGCTGAACAGAAAATCTGACTTTCAAATATAAGACTCAAGAGAAGCATGAAGAGGTAAACAAGAAAGAGAAATCATAAGGGACTTACTAAGGTTGAACTGTTTGCATTCCTACATGGAAAGACGATATTTGTAACTTATGAGACCTTTGTCAGTATCAGGGTAGTTGAAGGTGAAAAAAATTATATGAATAGATAGATAGACAGATAGATAGATAGATAGATAGATAGATAGACAGACAGACAGATAGAAAGACAGAGATGGCACAGGGGGAGTTGATGATGAAGGGGTGATATCTGGAGAATAAAATTAAGGGCTGAGAGAGAATTATATGGGGAGAAGGAAAAAGGAAGAGGTAGAATGGGGTAAATTATCTCACATATTACAGACTAGAAAAGGTTTTACAGTGGAAGGGAAACGGGGGAAGGTGAGAGGGAATGAATGAATCTTATTCTCATTGGATTTGGCTTATGGAAGGAATACCATACATTTTCAATTGGGTATGGAAATCTATCTTACCCTGCAGGAAAAAAGAGAGGAAGGGGAGAGAAGAGAGTTGGGGGATAATAGAGGGGAGGGCAAATTGGGGGAGGGGGTAATCAGAAATAAACTATTCTAAGAAGGGACAGGGTCAAAAGAGAATAAACAGGGGGTGGGATAGCATAAAGAGAAATAGTTTTCCACAACATGACTACTGTGGAAGTGTTTTGCATAACTACAACATGTATAACTGACATCGAATTGCTTGGAACTCAAAATTTTAAAAACGAATGTCAAAAATTGTTTTTACATGTAACTAGGAAATAAGATACACAGACAATGGGGTATAGAAATCTATCCTCCTCTACAGGAAAAGAGAAGAGGAAGGAGATAAGGAGAGGGGAGGGGTGAAAGAAGGGAGGGCAGACTGGGAAAAGTGGTAATCAGAGTGCATACTGTCTTGGGGTGGGGGGAGAGAGAGATGGGGAGAAAAATTGGAACTCAAAATCTTGTGGAAGTCAATGTTGAAAACTAAAAATAAATTAATTTTTAAAAAAAGAAATGATGATGGGGCAAAGGGAGATACTGTATGCCTCAAACTAGCCCCATTTTTCCCTGCTCCCAAGCTCTTTTCTAACCTTTTAAAAATACATGCTGGATGTCAAATTGTTTGCCTTCTTAATGGGGGAGGAGGGAGGGAGAGAATTTGGAACTCAAAACTTGAAAAAAGAATGTTAAAATTGTCTTTATGTGTAATTGAGGAAAAAAATAAAATATTTAAAAAAACAACAAGCAGGAGGATCTCAGAAAAATCCGGGAAAACTTATATGAACTGATGCCAAGTGAAGTAAGCAAAACCAGGAGAAAACTGTAGACAGTAACAGTAATACCGTATGATGATCAACTGTGAATGACTTAGCTATTCTCAGCAATATAATGATCCAAGACAATCTCAAAGGACTTATGATTAAAAAATGCTATCTACCTCCTAAGAAAAAACTAACGGCATCTAAATGAAAATTAAAGCATAGCTTTTTTAACTTTATTTTTCTTGGGATTTCTTTAATCTGTGTTTTCTTTTGCAATATTGCCAATATGGAAATATGTTTTACATGACTGCAAATGTATGATCACGTATGCACATGTATAAATTGTCTGCCTTCTCAAGCAGGGGAAAGAAGAGGAAGGGAACTCAAAAATTTTTTAAACTAATCTTTAAAATTGCTTTTACATGTAATTTAAAAAATGAAATACAAAAAAAGCTTTAAAAGATTTGATTGTAAATTTATCAACATTTATACATAATACTAATACTGAATCTAAATGGCTACACTAGGGCTTCAATGATCAACACTGAGAGATAGTGAAATTCTGCAAACTACCTGCTTACTGATCACAACTGAAAACAGGAAAACAAAGGGGGGGAAATGGATATACATGGGAAAATCATACTTGTATTTTCTCAAAATGACTCATATTATAATAGATATATGATATAAATTTATAAGATTAATAGATGCTTATAAGTATAAAATGCTACCAAAATATAAAAACCTGTTAATAACAATAATAACAACTTACTGGTATTTCAATCCTTGCTTTCAGTATGTGGTCTTTTTTTATATTCTGTACATGAAATGGAGGTCCAGTTAAAATACTAGTTCCAGCATTACTACAATCCACACTGTAGACAGGAAGGTTTGGAGCACCTAAAAACTATATGGGATATACAAACTAATTTAAGAATCCAAAATGAAATTAAATCATTATTCATAAAATTCTAGTAAAATTTCTTGAATTAAAAACCCAGTATACATTATCTATAAAAATACGTATATTTACTTCTAAAATTGGAAAATTTAAATCTGAAATGTTTATAAGTTTGAACTCATTTTGAAGTGAAAGAAATTTTTAACAAGCTCAAAAAAAATTTTTGAAAATAGAAATCATACCTTCACTAATTTTACATTTCTCTTTCCATTCTCTTATGTCTACATCTCTTCTCTTTCCTACCCTAAATCTTTATAGTGAAGAAATTGCCATGCAATTGTCAGAAACACAAAAATATTATTTTCCACAAATATTCACTTCCTTGAAAGAACTATGTAGAACTCTAAGAATTTGAATGGACTTATTATCGATTTTTTGAGCACTATCTCTAAAGACATAGTATGACCATATTTGTATTTTCAATCAAAACCTAGTATTCTTTCCACACACAGTCTATGGAATAACTTAAGATGCAGACATACAGCAAGTACTGTCACTGTGTGAAACATCACCAACTTTATAAAATAAAGATAAAAACCCATGCTTAACATACAACTTACCTTACAATGAACAATCAATTTGGGTTGTGCTGTGATATTTCCTGATTCATCTAAAACTTCTACCTGGAATGGGAAAGCTGTTCCATTTTCAATAACAAGAATATCAGAATCTGGTTTCACTTTCAATTGATGAGGAGGGCCTGTAAGAAAAACCCCAGAACAGAAACAAGTTAAAACTTGAAATATGGAACTATTATTTCATGTATTAAAAGTACTTATATTCATAAGATGAAAAAAATTTCAAGGATGCAAAGGAAAAAAATCATATATGATCATTTGTATCCAAATGACAAGTGCAATATACTGTATATATATTCCATGCATTAATATATATTATTTATAGGCTGAAATTTGTCCTTTTTGTAATTTTATTTTTCCTCTATAATTTTCTTAAGAAATGATAGGGAATGGGGACTAGACAAGTGAGTGATTTGGTATAGAAATAGAAATTTGTTATAGGTATGCTAATGCAAGGTGGTATCTTCTCTGCAAATTGTAATCTTTGAGAGTCACCTAGAATACTATGAGGTTAAGTGCCTTTTCCAGAGTCACAGAGCCAAGACATGTTAGAAGTAGAATTTTAACCTAGATCTTACTGGCTGTAAAAATGGCATTTTATCCACTATGTTAAGCTATGTTGCAATAAATAAATGTATTAACTAATTCCAGAAATCATTCAAATTCAAAGTCTCAAAACAATACTAAAACTGTCAAGGAATACGAAGCAACCACAACACTGAATAGAAAAACTTACCTTACAAAAAAAGAAAATGAAAAGAAAAAAAGTGCCACTGGAAATCAGTTATTTTTACTTTAGAAGTTTCTGTCTAAAAATCTAAAAAAAAGTCTCCAAAAGGAAAAATTTAAGTAATTCCCTAATTGTCACTATTGTATTTAGCCAGCAAAGAAATTTACAAAAGTTTAGTATTTTATATGTAAAAACAGCAATATTTAATTAGCTCTTTCCCAAATATGCCTCTAATTATACTTTTCTAGAAATATTCCACAATTACATTCTTGTTTCAATAACCTGAAACTTGAAAGTGATTAAGTATTTCTGAATTAATGTATGTCAAATGATGATCATTTTTAGTTATCATCTTAAAACCAATGCACAATGTAGTATATAGACCAAAACAAGAATGATGTGAAGCCAAACCCTTGTAAAATTTGGTCAACGCTTTTTGTACAATTTTAGTTCAACATACTTTCTAATTTCTTCATGACTAATTTGATGTTATTTAGATCATAAGTATGAAAGACTCCATAATATATTAGTAAAGACTGCCTTTTTTCTTGAGATAATATCACAGTTTTAAGGGACCTCAGAAACCATCTACTCCAACTCTGTGATTTTTGAGATGATAATACCATTTTAGGGACAAGGAGGTTTCCAAGTAACCTTTCCAAGATCACAAAGGCAGTAGGTCTAAGAAATAAGGCCTATGACTCGACAGTCAACACTCTATCCACTGAAGAACAAGAAAGATCTCATGTAAGACCATGACTATTATAAGGCTTAAATACAAAATGCTTGCATTACAATAGCTTTAAAAGAGAAATTAGAAAACAATCAATAAATGGATTTGGGCCTAAAAATTTATACTTGAACTAAGCTATTTCCCCATCAAAGAATCTAAGAGTCTGAAGGGATCTCAGAGGTCATACACTCTAAACTGTACCTGATGAAGAACCCAGCCTCAGGCTGAAAATTTCCAAAGCTAGCCACAGTTACCTTTCCTCTTCAAAGTTCATAAACAAAAATATACCTCCAACCACCCTTATTCACAGTTCATTTCTACAAAAAAAATATTCTTTCACATTATATTCATCTCCAGAAATTGATTGGGAAAGGGAAGAAAACATTTTCAAGATTATTGTTTGACTTTCCCAGAAAAAAAAGAATGCTATTGAAAAGTCAAATGCACTTTTAAACATTTATAACCATACTATTAGAAATGTTTCTTAAAAGTAGTACTTACCAGGAAGTAATCTAATTTTCAAAATCTGAGATTCTTCTTTCAAACCTGGTAGAATAACCTTCAGACTAAAGTTCTGTTGAAAAAGAACATTTAATAAATTAAACATTGAATTCACAAGGATTTGAATAATATGCTGTCTCCAAAAGCAATTTGAATTATTTTATGTTTCAATGATGTTTTAACAGAAAATTAACAGTAATTTGATATTTACTAAAATTGGTATACATCCATGTAAAACATGCAGAATTAAAGCTGATTCAAATGATTTAAGAACCAAAATTAGCATTGAGTATGTATCAGGTGAGGTAAGTCAAAAAATACAAGTGGACCAGATCAAAATATTATCACCTTTGCTTGCAACTTGTTACCAATTTACATGTTTTTCTAATCACTGAGGAAGAAAAAGTCTGGAAAACTTAAAGAGCAAGTAGATTAATAGCATATAACTCTAATAATAAAATAAATAGTATTAGTGCCTTTGGTTGGGATAAGTAAAATTCCCACTGGAAAAAGAGACTGGACCTTTGATTTCACTGGTAGAGGAAATGTCCAGTGAGAAAACTCCTTCAACCAATGTAGTAGCCTCCCTTTAATAGCTCAGAGCTGCCTGGGGTCATTGAGAGATGAAGTGCTTTGCCCAGGTTTACATGGTATGTGTCAGCAGCCAGAATTTTTCCCAGTGCCCTTAAACATTACAAAAAAGTACAATTTTTTTTCCTGGAAATTTTTAACCTCTCAATTTATTTACATTCAAATATATGGTAGAAAGAAAGTGACATCCCATAATGGTGAAAAATTTTTATAAAGTATATACCAAGGTTAAGTGAAAGAATTACAGAATGTTAGAGCTAGAAAGGACTTTAAAGATCATCTAATACAACTCCCTCATTTTATAACGAAAGCAACTAAGGTGTAGAGAAGCAAAATACAAGGAACAAAGTCTGCAGGAGAAGGTACAAATTATTCGGTTTATGAAAGGTTTTAATTTCAGAGCTGTTAATCTCTAAATTAAAAGCCTACCTTAAAAGTCACCTGAAACTAGCATTTCCTTAGCTAATTTCTTCTCTTATCTTCTCTCTCCTTTTACCTTGTCCAATACTATATGTACTGATAGATGATTTTTTAAAATTTTGAACATAATTTATTTTTCAAAGTATTTTGTTTTAATCATGTCTTCTCGCCTTTCTACCCCAACTGAAAACACACCAAAAAACAAAAAAAAAAAACAAAAAAAAAAACAAACCCAAACCCATTATAAACCTGTATAAAACCAATTTCCACATTGTCCATGTTCAAAAACCAGCTTCATTCTGCATTCTGAGTCCTTCACCTCTTATCAAGAGTTGGGCAGCATGTTTTCACGTTAGCTCTGGAATCCTGTTCAGTCACTAATAAGAGTTCTACATGATGGACCCTCCATCATATTTATATGCTATAACTTGTTCATCCATTCCCCAATTTATGGGCACCTCCTCAGTTTCCCATTCTTTACCAATTCAAAAAAAACTATCAATATTTTTGTGCATTGTTAAAGTTTGTTTTGCTTAGGATTAATCCCTCCCCTTAACCTACCCTCTCTTCATAACTCTTCACACCCTTCCCTTTTCCTTCCTATTTCCCAGTGGAGTGAAATATTTATAGTGTGTGTGGGGGTGAGGGGTGAGGGGTAGGGGGGTGAGGGGGTGGGCCAGGAGAATGAGGAGAATGAATTCTTCCTTTGTTTGATCAGTTCAGATGAGAGTGATACTCAAGTGTAAGCTATTCCCCACCCTTTTCCTCCTATGCACAGATAACTTGTGCACATTACATGAGATAATTTCCCCTAACCTTCTTTTCCCTTCCCCACCATACCTCGAGGGTATTCCTCTTCCTCTCTCTTTCCATTCTTTTCTTAAAATCATCAAGATATGATAGCCACTCCCAGGACTTTTCTAATAACTCTGATGATGACAGGGTTCACAGGGGACACATTTATCATTTCCCCTTATTTGAATGTAAGTAGTCCACCCTTATTTAGTCCTTTATCATTTTTTCATTCATGTTTACCTTTTTAGGTTGCTCTTCACTCCTATGTCTGAATGTCCTTCAAGTCCTGACTAAAACCCCCTCTTCTACAAGAAGTCTTTCTCAACCCTAGTGCAACCCTCTCTTCATTATTTCCTATATATTTTGCATGTAGCTTATTTGTAGAGTATTTGTACATATTTGCTTGCTGTCTCAGACTTTAAGCTCCTTCAGGGCAGGAATGTCTTTTGTCTCTTTTTGTACTCCCAGGACTTAGTACAGTGCCTGGCACACAGCAGGCAATTAATGTTTATTGACTAGTCTTTTCTTTCTTTTTTTGTTTTTGTTTTTTTTTGGCGGGGGTGGGGTGGAGAGACAATTGGGATTAAATCACTTGTCCAGTCATATAGCTAGTAAGTGTTACGTGTCTGAGGCCAAATTTGAACTCAGGTCCTCCTGACTCAAAGGCTGGTGCTCTATCCACTGTACCACCTAGCCGCCCCTGACTAATCTTTTCATCAGAAATGCTGAAAGCATCTATTTCACTAAAGATACATTTTTCTCCCCTGTCTTGGCTCTAAGCCCATATACTGTGTCTTCCGGCATTTCATATTCCAAGTTCTTTGTCCTTTTATATTGGTGGCTGCTCCTCTGAAAGAAGACTAGATTCTAGAATTGAGACCCTTTTCTACCCATGGAGTTTGAGCTACACCACGGTGCTGGCTAACAGATGCTACTCCCCTGTGCAAGTCCCCTTTTCCCTCTGCCCCCGATTTGTGACCTGGAAGTATATAGTAGTTGACAAAGCTACCAGTTGGAACCTTTCCCTGTTAGAGTACACTGGCATGGGTTTGGGAGTGCCCCAGTCAAAATTTTGGACATCCTCTTGCATTGGTGCACAGCCTCTCTCTTGGGAGGGCTCAGCACGTGGCATTCTCCTACAATGACCTTAGTCCTTAGTTACCTGCAGATATCTCTTCTCTGTCTCTCTATGTTGGACTGAAAAAATAACTCACCATCAATTTTTTCTGTATTTTCCCACCAAGATTCAGTCTGTTGCCTTTTAGATCTCTTTGGAGGGCTTTTTAAAAGTTACCTAAACTTATATGATCAAGTAATCGGTCCAAGGAGAAAAATTCAAGCTCATCCCATTTCAATAATTTATTCAGGAGAATGAAAACAAAAGAATTCAGTTTAAGAGTTGAAAGACTTGTTCTAGATGATAATTAGGGAAGAAGTTGTAAATAAGCTTGGTAAAGGTTATAGCCAATGCTAAGAGAAATAAGGCTTAGGAAAAGCAGCTAAAATCACTATGTGAAAAACAATGAAGGGAATTTTCAATTCATCAATTAATTTCTTTTCTTTTTTTCTACTGTAACAATACTTATTCTAAACAATAACATATTTTGGGGCAGCTGGGGGCGCAGTGGATAGAGCACTGGCCCTGAAGTCAGGAAGACCTGAGTTCAAATATGGCTTCAGACCAAACACTTGACACTTACTAGCTGTGTGACCCTGGGCAAGTCACTTAACCCCAATTGCCCCCCCGCCAAAAATAACATATTTCCATAGCAAAAAACCTGGACTCACTAGCCATCATTTCCTAAGTGCTAAGAAACTGATGACGTATGAAACTGACTTCTTTTCAAGTACCAAACATCATAGCTATTCTAAGAAATGTTCAAAAATCAGTATGACACAAATAAGAATATTTTACTCTCACATGATATTGCTTCATCAATAAATTTGATTAAATATATAACATTAAGATACATGGCTTACCTTGCCTTGATAAGAGCTGACATGGCCCTTAGCAGTAACACCCCTAATTACACAATTTGGTCCTTTGCTTATGTCTTCATATTGTAAAGACAAGCCACTGTTTAAAAAACAAAAACAAAAACAAAAAAAAAACAAAGTTATGTTTATTATCCTAAAATACCTACAATAAAATCCTAAGAGATCTGTTTTATGTATCCGTGTCATATTATGGATCACACAATCACACTCATTATTACCAATCCATGAGCAATGTCACTACCCAGTGACAGAATTAACCATTTCTATAACCTGTCAATTGAACACTGAACAGAGTATATCTGTCTTCCATTCTGTAAATTTTGATTTGCCATGACTAGCTTATAAGTCAACAAATTTATACTGTGCCTTGTATGCCTATACTGTACAAAAAAGCACTGTAAAAAACACAAAAGTCGTAATATAGAATCTTTGCCTATAAGCATGATTTTACAATGCAGGTTAGAAAATATAACGTTTTAAAACTACAAATAACACAAGGCAACAGATAAATCATCTAGGTGTCTACTCAACAGGACAGGGAGCCTGGAAGGAATGGGCCCACTGCCACTAGGAAGTGCACCAAAGTGTACAAATGTAGTGAGAATTCTGAGCTCCCTTCAGCAAAGGTGGGAACAAGGAAGTCACTGTCCATTAAGTAGGGAAAAGAAAAAGGAAGTATTGGAAAGAAGGTTGGTAGTGGGATCTGAGTAGCCTGGCATGGGGGAGGGAGAAGACACCCCCCATTTGGAACCATCCCTCTCTAGACCTATCAACGGGACTTTAGAATATCTGCATAACAGAGGAATGATAGTAAGTTTAAGTAAGGCACTGGGGAACCAGAAGACAAAATGTTCTCTACCTAAACAAAAGTAAATATATAAGAGACACTAAAATTTAAAAGTTTTGTACTATTATTTGAAACAGCGTAAGAACAAAGTTAAGTACAGAATAAATATGATGAAGAAAGAAAATTAAAGTTTATTTTCTCAAATTACCTTGCTTCAAGAACCGGCTTAACATCAGTTACCAGTTGAGCAGTATGACCAAATTCATCCTGCAACTCCAGGGGAATATTGAATGGGACTCCAACACGAAATGGAGGATCCAAAAGGCCCACTGAAAATTTCTCTGGTTTACCCTCTTTCATATAAGAACAATTGAGTTGAAAATTATCTTAATGAATATCTTCATTACAATATAAAAGTAGTAAAATAATTTTGACATAACAACTGATGTGCAAAGTCATTTATAAACTGTCATTAATCTTAAGGGTAGGGTTTTTTTTAATCCATAAGGAACTTAAGACACTGATTTTCCACAAATGTAGCTGAGAATAAAGAATAATTTTCATAAAACCTGCAATGTTGAGCAATGTAGCTAAGCTATATCATGCTAGTCAGGTATCTGAAAGAACCATGGCAAATGTTAAGGAATAAAATTATATTCAAATTTCCAAAGAAAGAGGTGCTTATTTTTGCTTCTATTTAACTTGGTGAGAGAACACCCACTAATTGCTCCCTGATTACATTAAATAAAGTTCTCAAGCGTTCTCCTGATTTTAATAGCAACTAACTTCATTTTCACTTTCATGATGGCAACCACACATATTAATGGCTATGCGCAGCAGAGAAAAAATGAGGTGTGATGCCCATAAACGTGCAGAGTGGCTGGTATTCTACTAGGCCCTTCACTGGTCTTATTCATCTTACCATTGTAAAAGAGCTTCCTGCACACTCATTGCGTATTTTCATCGTTTGCCTTTAAAACTCAAGTTTTGTGTTACAAGTATGCCCCAAAACATAGTACAAGTCCTTGGGGCATATCAAGACCTTTCCAGTCTTGGTGTCTTCTGGTAAGCAGGAACTAAAGTCCCAGCAACATCTCCCTTGGTTTTCAGACAGAGGACAAGATAGAAGTTTACAGCAGTATAATATACAGTACAACACTCTCCACTGTCATAGGACACAATGGAATGTAAGATTAATAATGGAAGGTTCAAAAATGGTTAAGTTTTAAGAATTTCATTTGCAGTACAGTATTTATGATACTGTAGATTTCATGTATTATGAAAATGAATATTGTCAGAAGTCGTTTTTTAAAAACTGACATGTTAACACAAAAGATCACAGAATTCGAGGTAATGACTTGGCAAGAAAAATGTTTTGCATGTTACAAATTTTATTTTGTGTACTGCATTTTATGGGTTATTTCACAGTTACTGAGCTACAAAAATGCATATTATCAGAAATAATGTTTTGCTATAAAAAATTGTGTGCAGAAGAGTGTAATTTCAGCAATCACTAGCAAAAATTTGCAGTTTTTGGTGCTTGCAGAACATTAACCCCCTATTTCCCATAGGTTCAGTGTATCAACATTTGCATGAGTTTTGCACCATTTTCGAGGAACATTACCCCTATGAAAGTTGAGGATTTACTGTACATGTGCTTCTGTGGTCAATAACATTCTAATCTTAAGCAGGAATTCTTTTCGATTCCAGAACTACTACAATGACTCTAGAACTCAACTGTCCCCTGAAGATTAAGAAAGTGACTGAGACCTATCTGAATGAAAAATTATAGAATAGTCCCAAATGGATAAAACACGATGTACTCAGTGTCGGTTATCTTCTAAATGTAAACTTATATGAGTATCTCCATATCTTACAAGATAAGTCTATCTTCCAGTTTATTTTAAAATGGTATTTCAGTGAGCTACAAGAATTCAAAGGAAATTCAAAGCTTTACTTACCTTTGACAGAAAATTTAAATGTTTTTGATGGCAATGGCCGGCCAGCATAAGTGTCGGCATTACTTTCATTCAATACGACTTGCAATTTTAATGTGTAATTGCCCAATTTTTGAATATTTTCTGGATGTAAGTTTAAAAAAAAAAGATTATTACTAACCAGTCACCAAAATATTAAGTTTCTTAACATTTGAAGAATAACTCACCCATTTTCTTGAACCAGTAAGGCCATTTGCCCCCATGCTGACTGATATGAGAAATTATTTCTTTATTCCCACTTGAAGCTTAATCAATCATAAAAGAGGAAAAAAGTTACAATTATAATCAAGAAACAAGAAAATATAATATAAGAAGAATTGGAATTATGAATTCAGCCAATGAATTCCATATAGCTTCATTTATTCATTTTTTAACAAGTCCCAAACTAAATGAAAATATCCTCATAAGAAAGAAAACAGCAATAATGAACTTTCTTCAATAATGCTTTCATTTTTAACACTAATGCAAATCATCCTAACTTTTTTAAAAGCTATAGCATAGCAAAGGACTATAAAAATGTGCATAGCCTTTGACTCAGTAATACCACTTCTAGGGCTGTATCCCAAAGAGATCATAAAAATGGAAAAAAGACCCACATATACAAAAATATTTATATCAGCTTTTTTTGTGGTGGCAAAAAACTGGAAATTGTAGGGGAGCCTAGCAGTTGGGGAATGGCTGAACAAGCTGTGGTATAAGAATGAAATGGAATACTATTGTGCTATAAGAAATGATGAGCAGGCAGACTTCAGAAAAACCTGGGAAGACTTGAATGAACTGATGCTGAGTGAAAGGAGCAGAACGAGGAGAACACTGTACACAGTAACAGCCACATTGTGTGACACCTGACTTTGACAGATTGAGCTCTTCTTGGCAACACAAGGATCTAAGACAACCCCAAAAGACTAATGATGGAAAATGCTATCCACATCCAGAGCAAGAACTAGAGTCTGAATGCAGATAGAAGTATACTATTTGCTGTCTTTTTTTTTGTTTTGTTTCTTCCACCGGCCCTGAAGTCAGGAGGACCTGAGTTCAAATCCTGCCTCTGACCAAACACTTGACACTACTAGCCGTATGACCCTGGGCAAGTCACTTAACCCCAATTGCCTAAAAAAAAAAAATTAATAAGAACATATATGTAGAGCCTATATCAGATTGCATACCATCGGGGGGAAGGGGGACGGGAGAGAGGCAGAGATTTAAAACTCAAAAGCTTATGGAAGGGGAAGCTAGGTGGCCCAGTGGATAGAGCACTGGCCCCGGAGTCAGGACGACCTGAGTTCAAATCCAACCTCATGCACATAACAATCACTAGTTGTGTGTGACTGGACAAGTCACTTAACTCCAACTGCCTCACCAAAAAGAAAAAAAAAGTTTATGGAAGTGAATGTTGAAAACTAAAAAGAAATTAAATTAAAAATTTAAAAAAAAAAAAGGCTATAGCACAGCAGCATTTCTTTTTATCACCAAAAAATATTTCCCACAAATAAGCTACAATCAAAATAAAAACTGCTTAATTTTGAACTTAGTGGGTATGTTAAACAAAAAGCTTTTTTAAAAATTATTTTTAGGAATATCAAGAAATACAACTGCTGTTATATGTAATATGAAAATAGAAAAAAAACAACCTATTAGTGGATATGTTAGAGACAAAGGAAATGTTTACCTAATTAAACATGACTTTCTCCTTGAACTTGCTAATCTCTAGACAAATGTACAAGGATATTTCTTTTTATCATAGAATATTTTGTGCTAACTGTAAGCATATTTATTAGCAGCTAATACAACATTTTAAGGGAGAAAGAGAGGAAATGGAGAAGAAGATGGAGAGAAGAAGAGGAAGAGGGAGAGGATGAAAAAGGAAAAAGAACAAGCAGTTAGTTCCCTTACTTTCACAATGACTTAGAAGTGAAAACTCAAGGGATGAAAAAGCCAGGGAACACATTAACTATGATATTCCCTCCTCTATTAAAGTTTTCCATTGTTCTAATTGAGTCCACATAGCCCACATGTTCCACCTGAACCATTTACCAAGCTTCTGAGAAGATTCAAGCTAAGGCAGACACATATGAAGTGCCTCCCACTACTTTCTTAAACTTTCATTCCTTCTACAGTTCAGTCACAGAGATCACATAATGAGACATAGAACAATAAAAACTCTAATTGTATGAACCAGGATGCCTTGGTCATTTTTGGTTAACAGTATTTAAAATTTTTATCAAGTTAAATCTAACAGTCTAGTTCCATAGAACCAAGCTATATTAGAGAAGAAACTTGGCAGATCTCAAGTCCAATTACTTCATTTTTTAGGTGAAAAGAAACTGATGATTTTCCTAAGGAAACAGTAAAATTAGAGTCAGCTGGTTTATGAGAAGCTATTTACCTATGTTCAAAAGCTATTTTATGGATTTTGTCTGTCTACTTGCATTGTTAAGTTCCCCAACAAGGAAAAGGTCTTCAAATTCTCTGCACTTTGATAGTCTGGGGCTGAACACACACACACTGAGTACACAGAAAATACTAGTGAACGCGCTTATTAGATAAGACTGTATCTTAGATGCCACCTGCACACTCTAATCAGAGGAAAGCCCTCAGGAAAAAGTGAACTTTGCTATCAAGCCATCCTTCAAGACATACTCTGTCATAAGACCTTTAGCCAAGATAGTGAAGTTAGTGACTTGGTTGTTGTTGCTGGGGGAGTAGAAGGGGACAGGTGTGTGGGCAAAAACATATGCAAAAGCTGAGACTTAGGAGGGTAAGTGATACCTTATTCTGGCCCTGCTAAAAGTGGGTCATTGGAGGGAGTCAAGCACCAAACCCTCTTAGAACACTTTTGCTCCTATAACCGCACTTCATGATGACATATGTTGGGTAATGAAATCTAAAAAAGCATTTTTAGAGGTCATCTAATCAAATCCTCCTCATTTTACAGAGGAAGAAAACTAAAAACACTGGAGTAAATGATTTCCTTCATGTCACATAGCTAAATAATGGGGAGGTCAGACTAGATTCTAAAGCCTAGTGACTCGTAGTACATAATCTCATGAATATAGTCCTCTTTGTCAACACATCTATAACCCTTCTCTTTCACTTACTGACCTATGCCAATCACCTCTTGGTCAATCACTATAACATCTCTTTCTATTATGATTCTACCTCATAACAAGAGCCCATGGTCCAAATCCCAATAACTCACCACCACCCCCAGATTTCTTTCAAAGGCCTTGTTATGATCAAGTCAGAATCAGAATAACAGCTATACCAAGTTCTAGTGACATTTTTTTTGAAACTGTGACAACCAAAATCCTAAAATGGAGTATTTTTTTCCAATTGCAATGCCCCAAATATCACAACTCAGTGATACCAATATTAAGTCAATATCCCAAAGAGGAAAAGTATCCACATGTGCAAAAACAGCACCTCTATTTGGAGTAGCAAAGTAACATCTTTTAGGGGCAGCTGGTGGCGCAGTGGATAGAGCACCTGCCCTGGAGTCAGGAGGATCTGAGTTCAAATGTGACCTCAGACATATAACACTTACCAGCTGTGTGACTCTGGGCAAGTAACTTAACCCCAATTGCCTCACTAAAAAAAAAAAATTAACATCTTTTAAACTCTTATTATGTGTAGGGCATCAGTTAGATACTGGCAAAATAAAGATGAAAATAGAGTTCATGACTTTAAGGAGATTACATCACTGTAGGCCTAAATCTCACCAAGAGGTCAAAGAAAATTTCTTAAAAGCTCCCTTAATACTTGATGAACTTAAAATTTGCAAATCTATACTACCTCTGAAAAAAAAGGAACAAAGTTACAATGTCCATTTGTTTACTTACAATGCAAAATAACCTTCAGCTCAACTAGTAGTTTCTTTGATCCTCCATGACTTGTACCAGGAAGCTTTTGCATGGCTTCTCCTTTCTTATTCAGTATTTCGATTCTTAAAGCACCTATATATCAATGAAATATTAAAGGAAAAATTATATTCATAAAGCTACAAACCAAGATTCTCAAGTTAATAGTTACTGTTAATCAATCAGCAGACATTTCTTCAGTACTATATGCTATATATAGTACTAGGGGTATAAAAACAATCTCTCAAAGAAATTATATTATCTCAAGGGAGATGAAACATTCATATATAATAATATATAGTGTATAAACACAAAATATGTACAAGGTGGTTTTGTAAGGCAGGGCAGGAGCAGTTGGAGGAAATTGGGAAATGTTTCATATAGAAGGTAATGCTGGAGTTTAGTCTTGAAGTACGATGTAACAAAGTCTCTGAGGCAGAGGTAATGGAGAGAATTTCAGTACTGGGGAATAACCAATACAAAGGCACAGAAATAGGAGATGGAATGTTAGATGGAAAGTCCTCACTGTGAAGAATGGTGAAAAGGCTAGTTTGGCTGTACTACACAAACATGCAAGAAGTGGAATAATACACAATGAAGCTGGTAAGGTAAGTTGTGCCACAGCTGTGAAGGTCTTTAAAAGCCAAAATGAGGAGCTTATGTTTTATTATAAAAGCAACAGGAGCTACAAGTGATTATTAAGTAGGAGTGGGATGTAATCAAAAAAGTTTAAGAAAAATCATTTTGGTAACTGTGTAGACTACACCGTAGAGCATGGACTAAAGCAAAGAGTGAGTTGGGGCAAGGACTGAATTATAAACTCTTCCTTAACATGCTTATACACTAAGATACTAAAATAGCCAAAAAAGTTTCCTGTTTAATACTAGGCAGAAATCATACCAATAGGCGTCCCAGCAGGCTTGACTTCATTTGGTAACAATTCATCTCCTTCAGGCCAAGTTACAGACAAACGATCTGGAAGTCTATGACCAAAACAACATATCACAATTCCAATTTATAAAATATGCTATAATGATGAACAGGAAAAAAATTCCGTGTCCAACTGAGTCAACACTTCTTTTTAAGGCAGATGATAAAATTTCTACTATTCTCTCAAAAATTTCTACTCTCAGTAGAAACCATCTTCCCCTCAATATAAATCTGTTATCCATCAAAGAGAAATTTGGAAACACAGTGAGATTAAGATTGAATGTATGTGCAGGTACTTAGTTTTATTTTATATAATTTTCATTAACCTAGGGATTATTTTTTGGTGAAAGTATGCATTCTAAGACTATGGCGCTTATCATTTTTAGTACTGACACAGCTTTTGTTTTAAACATATTTAAGAACAAAGGTGAACTGAAAGAAGCCCTAAAGAACAAAAAAGCTTAGTAGAGAAACCCGAAAAATAACTCTTATTTCTACTCATTACTGTACCATACAATACTGAGGAAACAAACTTAATGATGCTTAAGTGAAAAAAAAATCAGCTATGTCAAAAATAAAGTCCCATTTGGTAATCATTCTAAAGGGCTTTTTAGCTTTTATTTAGTATTTTATTTTCCCCCAGTTACATGTAAAACTCGAGTTCCTTTAAAAAAATAAGAATACAGGAAATGGGTATAGAAATCTATTCAGCCCTACAGGAAAACAGAAGGGGAAGGGGGGGAAAGACAGCAGGGAAAGCGTGTTCAAAAATGCATGCCATCTTGGGGTGGGGGGAGGGATGAGATGGGGTGAAAATTTGGAACTCAAAATCTTGTGGAAGTAAATGTTTAAAACTAATAATAAATTTATTAATTTAAAAAAAGGAAAAAAAAGAATAAAAAAAATAAAACTCGAGTTCCAATTTTCCCACATCTCCAATATTTATCATTTACTTGTTTTGTCATGTTGACCAATCTGATAGGTGTGATGTGGTACCTCAGAGTTGTTTTGATTTACACTTCTCTAATCAATAGTGATTTAGAGCATTTTTTTCATATGACTATAGATGGCTTTAATTTCTTCATCTGAGAACTCCCTGTTCATATCCTTTGACCATTTATCAACTGGGGAATGACTTGTATTCTTATAAATTAGAATTAGTTCCCTATATAATTTAGAAATGAGGCCATTATCAGAGACATTGGTTGTAAAAATTCTTTCCCAGTTTTCTGCTTCCCTACTAATCTTGGTTGCATTGGCTTCGTCTGTACAAAAACTTTTCAATTTAATGTAATTAAAATTATCCATTTTGCATTTCATAACGTTCTCTATTTCCTGTTTGGTCATAAATTCTTCTATTCTCCATAAATCTGACAGGTAAATTATTTCTTACTTCCAGTTTGCTTATGGTATCAGCCTTTATATCTAAATCATGAACCCATTTTGACTTTATTTTGGTATATGGTGTGAGATTTTGGTCTATGCCTAGTTCCTGCCATACTTTTTTCCAGTTTTCCCAGCAGTTTTTGTCAAATAGTGAGTTCTTAGCCCAGAAGCTGTTGTTGGAAATTGAGGGGATGCCCATCAACTGGGGAATGGCTGAACAAGTTGTGGTATATGAATGTAATGGAAACTATTGTGCTATAAGAAATGATGAACAGGCCTATAAGAAATGATGAACAGGCCGACTTCAGAAACACCTGGAAAGACTTGTATGGACTGATGCTGAGTGAGATGAGCAGAACCAGGAGTACACTGTACACAGTAACAGCCACATTGTGCAATGACTAACTTTGACAGACTCAGCACTTCTCAGCAATGCAAGGATCTAAGACATCACCAAAAGTCTCATGATGGAAAATGCTATCCCAATACAGAGAAAGAACTATGGAATTTGAATGCAGATTGAAGCATACTATTTTCTATTTTTTTCCCTTCTGTTGTGTTTTGTTTCCTCTTTCTGGTGGCTCCTCGTATTGGTTCCAGCTCTTCCTTACAACATGACTAATGTGAAAATGTTTAATAGGAATGTACATGTAAAGCCTATATCAGACTGTACGCTGTCTTGGGGAGGGAGGTGGGAAGGAAGGGGGAGTAAAATTTAAAACTCAAAAGTTTATAGAAATGATTGTTGATAAATCAAAATAAAATTAATAAAAATAAACAACAGAGTTCCAAATTCTCTCCCTCCCTCCCTTCGCATCCCCTCCCCTTGAGAGTCAAGCAATTCAGTATAGGTTTCACACGTGTAGTCATGCAAAACATATCTATAATAGTCATGTTGTGATAGAAAACAGAGACCAAAAAAACTCAAGAAAAATAAAGTTTAGGGACAGCTAGGTGGCGCAGTGGATAGAGCACCGGCCCTGAAGTCAGGAGGACCTGAGTTCAAATCTGCCCTCAGACCACACACCTGACACTTACTAGCTGTGTAACCGTGGGCAAGTCACTTGACCCCAAGTGACAAAAAAAATAAAAGAAAAAAAAGAAAATAAAATAAGGTTTATAAAAAGTATGGGGATGGATAGCATTTTTTTTATCACAGATCCTTCAGAAGTGTCTTGGATCATTGTACTGCTGAGAATAACTAAGTCGTCCACAGCAGATCATCCCACAATATTATTGTTACTTTGTACTCAGTACATTTCACTTTGCATCACCTCATGCAAGTGTTTACAGGTTTTTCTGAGAGCACCCTGTTTATCATTTCTTAAAATACAATAGCATTCCACCATAACCACATACCACAACTTGTTCAAGCCATTCCTCAACTGATGGGCTTCCTCTCAACTTCTAATTTTTTACCCCCAGAAAAGACATTCTGCTAAGTTTTAACAATATTGTAAAAAATTTTCTAGCAGTATTCTTAAATTTAATCCACATTGTAAATATGAAATGCTTTTCCTTCACATTTCCAATACAAACTTAGATTTGCAATGCAATACTGTTTTAACAAAGATGTAATAATGCATATAAACTGCCCTATTATAAAAACAGAATTGAAAAATATCACTTAAATACACTTATGACTAATAATATCATTCATGTTTAATGAATCTTACCTTGCCATTTCATCTTCTACATATTTTTTGACAGTTTTCTCAGCTACTGTCCTGTCAAGCTTCGTGATAGGCACAGTTTTAATTTCATCATATAAAGCTTGAGGCTCCTAAGTACATAAAAATCAATGAATGTTATCATTAGCAGGCTTTCAAAAAAAGTTGTATTTATTTAAAATGAAGAACTTAACTTCCATAAAAATGTACTTTAATCTAGTTAAATATTAAAATATCTACCAGATATTTCTATATTATACTAAAAAAACTGCAATCATATAACCTCTTTATATAACCAAAATCCTGGTATATAATGTTAATCAAAAAGCTATTTAACCAGGACGAATACAGCATTTGTAATGACTATAAAGCTCTATGTGGTTCACTTTATGATCTCATCAACAATGAAACATTTTGATTTGGGAAAAAAAATTACATCATTGACAGCACCTAAGCTTAGTATTATGCAATAATCTTAATTCAGTACTCCAAAAGATGCATAGGTTTTTTGGGTTTTTTTTTCAGATAGGGTATTCATTTAACCATGTATCACCCAAGCCCTCAACAACTTAATGGAAGGCTATGACCAAATCTGGTACTATGACCACAAAACGTAACTTAATGAAGCTCAACCTTCCAATGATGACCCTCTCACACTTATATTAACTGGTCCTAAGAAAACACTGTTAATGGATTCATACTTAATGCCTTTCAACCTTGATGAGACATATCTGAGATACTCTAAAACTATTACTGACTTCCACGTAAGGATGAGCCAAGAAAATGGGACAATACTAAGCAAAAAGAAAATAAAAATGAAAGATTTTTAAAAAAAACATTTACTGAATCCAGAAGCACAAAGTACCAAAAGAATTTTGATAATTTTCGTTCATTCCTTGTTACCTTACCATTGCAATCTGAACTTCCCCTCCTGTAGCATATACATCTCCATCGTGATCACCATAAAGAAAAAATTTTACTATGCTTCCATAAATGAGTGGAAGTGTCTTGGTTGTCTTAACCTAATATTCAGTAACCAAAAAAAAAACACAACAAAAAACACCACAGTATTAATACTCACAGTATTAATACTCACAGTATTCACTTATAATTCATGTTATGAAAATATAAATTACACACACAAATATATGCATCTATAATAGCTGATATAAAACTCAAATATGAACTAGCTTTTCATATTTGCAATTCTATTAGGGTAGGAAACTCTGGCTGTTACTGCAACTCCTCCAAAGACTTAGTTTGTAGAGTCTTCAGGAGCTATCTAAAGCACACAGGTTGAGTGACTTGCCCACATCACATAGTTAATACACATTAAAGGCAAGATTTTAAACCAAATCTTTCTGACTCCAAGTCCAAAAACTATGCCCACACCCCAAATCACACACCGTCTCTTAATTAATATAATGCCAGAGAGAAAAAGCACTGGGTTTGAAACTTACATTCTAGCTTTGGTGAGACTCTCATTACATTTAAAAATAATTGACAATATACATGTTCTTCTGTTTCTAGATCCACCCAACAAGAATATTACCTGACCCATACACTGAAAATGAGAAATGAAATATATGAATTCTAAAAACTTAAAAAATTGAAAAAACTTGAAAAAAAATATTGCTTGATATGAATATTAAAACACAAAAATTTTATCTTAATAAAATCTTTGCTACAAAGAGCACTGTGAATAAACTCAAAGTGATAAAAAGTTAACACCTGTTTCAGAAGTTTTAGCTGAGGGGTAATAACCATTATACAGATTTGGCTTCTTTAATACAATTATAATTTTTTCCCTAGAGCATAACATTGTAAAATTTAGGATGGGGGGGAGGGGGGAGAAGGGAACCCTACATATTTAGTTAATCCAATTCAGGATGAAAACCAGCTAATACCAATTACAGATAATTATTTCACTATAAATATTTTTCAAAAGTCTATTTAGAACATAGTATTTACAGAGTATGTGAAAATATGACATATTCTAAAACTTCATACTATTAAAAGTCATCATTTAAGTCAGGGGTGGGGAACCTGCAGTCTAAAGGCCACATGTGGTCCTCTAGGTCCACAAGTGCATCCCTTTGACTGAATTCAAACTTCACAGAACAGTTCTGTGGATTCAGGCAAAGGGCTGCATTTGAGGACCTAGAGGGCCACATGTGGCCTCAAGGCCGCAGGTTCCCCACTCCTGATTTAAGTCAATGTTAGCTACGGTTTTAAAGTTCCACATAATCTATTTTGTTTCCTAATTCTTTTTTAAAGAAAGAATTTAGGAATAATAAAAACATACATGCCAAAATGTAAACTTACCAACTGCCCTGCTTTGTATGTCTTTCCATCCCATTCTATTGCAGAGTATGTAGCCCATGGACTTTGCATTCTTTTAGAAGTAAGGTCTGTCCGTGTAATTATTCCTTTGAAGAGTGTAAATTTTATTTGTTTGTCATACTTCTCATGACAGTCTTTCAACCACAAAGCAAATTCTCTGTCAATTTTCATTCGCTGCTCCTGTAAAATTTTGAGGGAAAATATTCGATAAAATAAAAACTATACAAAAGTACTCATAGTTGCCTCTCCACAGAAAAAGAAAGGGCAGTACTTTTATTAGTAACTATCAGAAATAAAATGTAAGTTACAGAAACAAAGTAGAAAATATGGCATAAAATGCACTACAGCACTGGAATTTTTCTAATTTAAACTAGAACAATTGTGTAAACAAATATATAATTCAAAATACAAAACATTACCTGTCCATTAAAAATCCTTGTAAAAAGAGTGTTCTTATCTTTCAGCTTTAGTTCCAGATCCATAAAGGTCAGTTTATTTGTGCTGACCTGAAATTTATCATTAGTGAATAATGCACCAGAAATTCTATTGTAGCATTCAATTGGTGCAAGGCCTCGCTTCTTAGGAGGAGCACACCAGTCAAAGCTTAAACAGAAAAGAAAATCATTTAGTAGAAGCACTGGATTCTAAGACACAACATGATTTAAGTTTAAGAGAAAAGCAAAACTTACTCTTCAACAGTTGTGTAAGGTATTAATCTTCCATTCCAAAAACATTCAAAAATGGGTCTTTTCCCTCTTGCTCCTTTTTCTACTATAAAACAGTCATCATCATCATCATCATCTTTCAATTCTAGACAAAATCAGAACAAAAAAAGATTATTGCTTAAAAAGACCTTACAAATAAGATTTGCAATAACTTCTGTTGAAACAGCTACCAAGTCTCAAAAAAAGACTGTAGGTGGTAATGGAGACAAAAAAGTTTCAAAAATCCAAATGAGATATTTATGTGTGTTTCTATGTATATTTGTATATATATGGGGGGAGGGAGGGGTTGGACCAGACAGCAGTCCCCAACTTACCCTAAAAGTTCATTCTAAGTCAACCGTTTTGGTACTAAAATGAATTTTCTTACTGGATTAAGAATAATGGTTAGGTTCCCATAAAAACACATAAAAATAATCCAAAAGCTATCTTAAGTTTTCACGACATTGCTATCTCTAGATTACTGAACTTTCTGACCATTCCTTCCCAGTCTCCTTTGCTTGGCTATTATCTTTCCTTTCCTTCCCCTGTGGGTGTTCCCTAAGGGTCTATCCTAGGCACCCTTCTCTTCTCCCTATAATATAGATAACATCTGATATTTGCTATCCTTGAGCAAATCAAAGTAATTTCCCTGGGCCTCAGTTTCTTAATCCATAAAACAAAGAGACTGGATTAGATAGTCCCTAAGGTTCCCCTCTAGGTCCATATCGTATGACCTCTGGGATGAAATATAAACGCTTCCTAAGTCACCTCAAGCCCTTCACAACCCGGCTCCAATCTACCTTCCCAGTTTCATTATAAATCATTTTTTTTTTCATACACAGCATGGTCTGGTCAAAATGTCCTTCTTCATGTTCCTCATACCTGATATTCTATTACCCTTCCGTATGCCTTTGCAAAGGAGAAAGGTAGTGCAGTGGATAGAGTGCTGGGCCTAGAGTCAGGAAGATCTGAGTCTAAATTTGGACTCAGAAATTTACTCCCTAGGTGACCCAGGGCAATCTGCTTGCCTCAGTTTCCTTGACTGTAAAATGGGGATAATAGCATCTACTTCATGAGAACCACATAAAATAATATTCATAAAGTGCTTAGGACAGTGCCAAACATAGGAGGAGCTTAACAAATGCTTATTCTCTTCCTTTCCCCTTCTCTCACCTCCATGCCCAGGATGTCCTCTCTTATTACCCCTCTAATTTCCTTCAAAGTTCAGCTCTAATGTCATTTCTAACACAAGTCCTTTCCTGATGCCCCCAAGCTACCAGTGATTCCTGAACACTTCCTATGCATTTCATATGTACTTATATGTGTACAGGTTGCCTCTCCTCACAAAATGTAAGCACCTCAGGACAAATATTGTGTCCTTTGTGTTTTTAACCACAATGAATGGAAGCACTTGATTAAATCTGTTCATTGATAAATATAATTTCACCTTCAGTAATAACGGTACAAAAGGCTAGACCCTCCAACCTGAAAAGGCTTATCTATCCCTTTGTTACTCTACAATTTTGCCAACATTTTCAGGAATTTTCACACTGAAATGGTGGTGGTATGTATCTGTAATCTCATTTCCTAACTAGGTGGGAAAAAAACAACTATAATTAATGGAGATGTTAGTCCTAATCTTGATTTAAAAAAAAAAAAAAACAAGTTTAAACAAGCTCAGATTATTCAAGTAATAATCATGAATTATGTATAGTTACATATGCTACAGAATATCTTATTATGCTGTAATAATTTATCCATCCACAGAATACAACTACCTATCTGCTCTAAATGAGACCAGGCATGATACAGATGAAACAATACTTCACCCCTCCACAGATAACATATTCAACATCCAAAATGTCTGGAGAATCTGGCTACAAACAAGTAAGAAACCAGAAAGAAAAAAACGATCTACCAAATGAGATGTCAAAGTTTATACAATGAAGCATAACGAACCTAATGTTTTAGATCTCCTGTGCAGGCCTTCAAATGAAAACAATTTTTTTCTAAATTTAGACACAATCCAAACAGAGTTATTTCATTTCCCAGTCCACAAAAGACTGGAAGGAACAAATTATAAAATAAGCACTTTGCTAAATTACAAACTATAGCCTTACAGTTAAGGTAACAGAAAAATCAAAAAATAATGTTTAAAAGATACAGGAGTCAGGAGGACCTAAGTTCAAATCCAGCCTCAGACACTTGACACTTACTAGCTGTGTGACACTAGGCAAGTCACTTACCCCCAATTGCCTCACCCCCCCCCCAAAAAAGCAAAAAACAAAACCAAACCAAAAATGCAAGAGTTCAGAAAAACATAGTTCTTTGTGCCCATTTTGTTATTGGGTACAAGCGTGTACAAACACAGAAACACACAAACACACACACACACACACACACACACACACACACACACACACACACTACGCATAGACATCCAACTAATAACCTCTCCAACTCTTCATTTTAAAACCCAAACACTTTTCTTGAACCACAACTTTGTAGAAATAGGATACAGGACCAACGTACTTGATGGAAAACAGGGATCATCAGGATAAGTCTCTTTATCATATAAGAAAGGATGATAACGAATGATTCCTTCAACCACACCTTCTCCTTCTACGTGGGACTTGAACTCAAAACTATCTGATGCCGTATTTATATATAAAGTCTGCATGTCATCTTTGATCTCTCTAAGGTTGATAATCTTAGGTACTTTCCCTTTTTCAAACATAGAAATCTAGAACAAAAATTAACAAAAATAAACAATCAAATAAGTGTTAAATACAACTTAAATGTGAAAACTCATTGCTTGTACCCAACCATCACTCAATACGGTATGGCACAATTAAGAATGTTAAGTGAATATTTAATCATCTAGCTCAAAAAAGAAATTAAAGTTTAGAAAAGGAAATTATATGCAATAGTGGAGGAAGCAAATTACAAGTGAACACAAATAACAGTTACATTTAATAGAAGGTAGTTCTACTAGTGATGAAAAGCAGTGATGACAATCATCATGATACTAGCAATTCACATTTATACAGTATTTGTAGCTTAAAAAGACTTTTTATATACATGATCATATTTTATCCTTAAAAAAATCCTATAATACAAAGTCCAAGTACTACTTTACAAATCAAGAAACTGAAGTTGAGAGTATTTGAATAACTTGCATGAGGTCAAATAGCTAATATAGCACATCCTGGAATTAACTCCAGGTTCTTTAATTCCAAGTGAAGGGTTCTCTCCACAATGTTGTCTCCTTCAATGGAGGCAAAAAATGTTGAGCGCTCTGAAGCTTCTACTTCACCAGTAGTATTTGTTTGAAGAAAAGGAAAACATCAGTTAACCAAGTGCAGCTGGTCAGCATCCACAGCAGAATCATGGAATCATCTCAGAAGTGGTAAGAACAATCTGGCCAAGATACCTCACAAGTGGTCATCCAAGCTTTGCTTGAAGACTTCCAGGGAGAACCAACCCACTACATTCTAAGGAAGTCTTAAAACCTTATGGTCAGAAGAAGTAGAATACACAAAGAATGAAAGCACAGGAAGAAAAGTTACTAAATGTTTGTTAAATGGTTAACAGGAAGACTAAGATAAGTAGTAACAGTGAGAGAGCACCTAATGAAGCTCAGACCATTTAGATTCTCAGGTATGAAAAAACTGGTAGATACATGACCAAGCCATTGTCAACGATGGGGAGATGGGAATGAAGTCTGGAAACTATAGCTGGTGAGCTTGATTCGTATTCCTAACAAAACGTGAAAAAGCACTTCAAGAGTGATGGTTAGGGAATATCTAGAAAAGAAAAATAAGATCACAAAAATCCAGACTGCGTATCATCATCAAAAAAAGGTCAGGCCAAAAACCTCGTTTTCTTTCTTTATAAGGTTAGGTTACTAGTCTATTATATCCAAGAAACGTTGAAGATAAGGGTGTTTCTAGATTTTACAAAAGCATTTGATAAACCTGTTGTGTTATATTTAGGGAGAAGATGGAGAGAGGCAAATTAGCAAATAATCCAGGTAAATGGGTTTAAAACACATTGAATGGCAGTTAGTAATTGAGAGTAGTTATTAATGTTTCAAAATCAACTTCAAGGGTGGTCTCTTGTAGAAGTATCCAAAGAATCTGCACTTGGCCATTTGCCATTTAATATTGTGATAAATGAGAAAGATATAAATAGCATGTCTATTAAACTATGTGGATAGTTTAAGAGTGTTAGAAGTTCTACTGACTCCAGTGGATAAACTATTAGCTGTCACTTAGAAGAATGATTAGACTTATTCTGCTTAGTCTGAGTAAAAAGAACTGGAGTGAAAGCTGCAAAAAGGAAAATCTAGGCTTGATGGAAGGAAAAATTTCCTAATAAACAGAGCTACACACAAGTAGAATGAGTTGCCTTGGAGGTCAGGAGGGCCTCCCTTGAAAGTTTTCAAATTTTCAAGCAAAAGCTGAATAGCCCCTTATTCTGTATGTTGTAGAGGGGATTCTTGGACTAGATAACCACTGATGTCTCTTTCAACTCTGAAATTCTGTGATTCTATGCAGTTCCTTGCAACATTTAAGATTCTGAGAATGATACCCTCCTACTACCTTAGTTCACCAAACTACTTGGGTAAAAGAAAAAAAAGGGAAAAAGAATTTCCCATGTGTTTTTGTTATCTAGTCATCATAATCTAGGAAAAGAGACCTTATAAACTGAAATATTTGGAATGTGTTTACATCTTACTTCCATATCAATGTTGTTGAATGGTCCAACTTCTTTTGTTGCAGCATTTGTTTCATTTCCTTTTGGTCCATGAATATAGTAATGATAAATATGTCTAGAATTGAGAACAACAACTTTATATTGAGTTATATGTAATTATTACTTCATTTAACAATTTTCTATAAAAAAGCAGTCATTATGAGTTTTATCTCAGCTTTGTATGAACTACAATTATCAGTCTTCAAACTTTGGGACAAACATCTATTTACCTAAATGTAGTATTCTAAAAACAAATAAAACTGAAGTATTTAAGTGTGCCTCACTAAGTCCTGACATTTTAGAACCTCTTCCTACAATTATTTTCATGTTCAAAATACAAAATTTAAATCTTAGTGAATCAATACAGGGTAGGTGTGCCTGGATTTTTAGCTGCTTTTCCAGGAAAATCTCACAATTACTAGTTCTCCATATTTTGAATAAAGAGACTACTAATTAAATCTGGAACCCCAGCTATTTTTTAAAATGCAACTGAATAAAAAGGCAGTAATGTGGAATCACCTATAACCAAATCTACTTCTTCTTTAACTCTTCATTAATGGTATAATATAACAATGAGTGCTACTCATTAACTTAACCCCCATGAAGAACTAAATTATATTTTTAATGGAATAAAGAATGCACATTTGGAAGGTAATTATTTTAAGCAGGGAGCAGACACTAGTTCTTTGTAAATCAGAGGACAAAAATAGTCTCTTGTTGTTCAAATCACAAGTAGGCCTATGTGAACTTTTTCACAGGGGTCAAGGTTAAGGGCAAAGGATCTGATGATGTTGTTGGTATCATGCTCCTCAACTGTTATGCAACTTAAAGAGTCTCAAGGTCACCTGAGTCCCTAACATACCAGGGTCATGACATCAGTATGTGTCAGGGTTCAGACATGGAAATTCATGGCCTATCGTACACACTAAAAGACCCAACTTAACTTTTGAAACTGCAACCTTTATATTTCATATACAAAGTCTTAATGAATGATCTGCAATTTTATCAAAATGGGGGCATGGCAATTCCTATGACCCCTCTCATAGGTGGATGAGTCCTGGGGATTACCTGAAATACTGAGGGTCATATAGGTAGTGTCAAAAGACGTATTTAAACCCAGACTTGCTAACTCCAAGTCCATCAATATTACCAAACCATCATGCCCCTCACTAAAATCCTTAGGGGTATGAAAACAACTATGTGCTAATTTAATGTTTTGGTTTGTAGGCAATATAAACTTTTTAAAAGATGAAAACTGTTCATTCAGTATTCTTCCAATGAACTTTAAACAAGAAAAAATTACTTAAGCATATAAAAACAAAAAGTACCCATAAAAATAATGGAAATTCAACAATAGATCTTTATGTGTTGAATGTGGTAAATAAACCTCAGTATTATAAATTAATCTGTTTAGGTATACAACAGAAATCCTCTATGCATAAATACATACTTTAGGAAACTATTATAAAAATGATACATTACTACTTGGGTTATTAAAAAAAAATTCAATGGTCATCATTAAAGACAACTTATATAGCAAAGTATACCAAAGAAAGCTATTCACTACTTATTAAATATATTTCTTTCCAATGGGATACTGTAGATTAAGGTATAATTGAAAGAAACTATGGTTCTGGTACAATAGCTGTACAAAATCTCTAGGTCCCTTCCACCTCTAAAACTTTATAATTGAGTATAACTAAGTATTACTTCTGCTAAATCAGTAATACTCTGTTATTTTAAAAGGCTTGATAAATTTTTATGTATGACATATCTTGAGGCAAAAATTTTTTTTCCAAAAGAATAAATCTGAAATTCCCATAATGAAAATGATTTGGTTGAGAGGATATAACTTTATAACCAACTTTTCAAGAATATGTCTATTCCAAAAGATATACCTAATAAAACAATTAGAATAAGGCCATTACCTTCCAGGCACTCATCAGATTCTATTCTAATCAAATAAGTTCATACAAAGATTATTAAATTTACACATTCCCCCTTCCCAGGCTTTTCTTGACTTACTCTAGACTTAAAAACCATTGCCCTCCCCTTACTGGTGGCTTATCCTAAAACTTCCCTTAGCACCCAAAGTAAGTCTCCTCACCCTATAACTGCCTACCTTTCCAGAAGCCCACTCACCATGCAAGGTCCACTCCACTTCTCCCATTAGAGAGTTTCTCCTAGGGTTTCATTTTGCAAAAGGGTAGGTCTGCCTTTAGCGTCCTCTAGGCCCCATTCCTGGTACTGTCCCTACCCCACTTTACACTTCCCTTTGGTAAGCTGTCTTAACACCCCTCCTATTAGAGTATGTAAGCTCCGTGAGGGCAAGGACTTTTCTTTCTTTTTCTCTGTTTATATGGATCCCTGGTATTTAGTACAGTACTAGGCATCCATTAAGAACGTATTAAATGCTAGTTTCCTTCCCATACCTTAGTATTTGAGGGCTCCATTATTTCATTAATATAAATATACCCTTTAACAATGAGGATTGAAACCTATGACATAAATGTATTGCCACATTGGCTCTTCCACCAAAAAAAATTAATAACCTGATTGCCAACCACACTGTGATGAACTCTCTCTAAACTTACCCAGGTTGGTGCACAATTGTTTGATTGCCCATACCCAGTCTAGAGCCATGGAGGACTTTACAAAATTTCTGCTCTGCCTCTGAAATCCAATGACTCCCTCCAAATTATAAGAAGATACTCAAATAGGTTATTTAATGACTGAATTTTAAAAAAGGATTTAAAGCCATTTATTCTTACAAAAAAAATTCTCAAAATTTTAACCCCACACAATATATTTCCAAATAAAATACTAAAATTGACTTACGCTAATTGTCTCGTCCAAAGATGAAAATAATTTTTCAAGTACTGTATGTGTTCTGGTTGCACTCCTGTAATAACCACTGCAGTAAAGCTATCTTTTTCTCTCTCCTCAAGAATAAGACTGTGTAGAAACCTTTCATCATCATTTGTGATGTGAGCAGAGTCTGAGGGCTAAAAAAGTGAATATAATCATCACACTGTGTTATGCTATTAAAAATAAGATTGAAATTATATGAACAAAAGTATAGCTAATCAAAATTTATGGCTGTAAGGAAACTTAATCTGGGCCTATGTAGAAACCTGCACTGGGAAACTAAGCTAAGATGTTAAGCTAATTTCAGTCCATTATCCAATGGTTCAACACAAGAAACTAATATGATTTTATCAGTGAAAATGACATTTTAAAAGTACTACCAACTGCTTTCCTGCTAAACACCAAGAACCATGGGACCTTTCTATTTGAAACCTCCCATATATGTCTGTCTCGTGTTCCTTGAGAATAAGGACTTTCTTTTCTACTTATATCCTTAGTATTCAAAGTGATTTGCATATATTAAGCTTAATAAATACTTCATTTATTACTATCACTAGATGAGCAAGAAGCCCCATCTAGAGACTGGTAGGGTAACACAATCACAGAACAACTTGCTAATAACTTGAGTTACTGGGGTATCAACATGAGAATAATTAAACAGTGAATCAATACTAGCAGGCATATAGAGAAAAGGGAGGGGGTAAATTTTACCCAGAAAGTTAGAGTTCCTTCTATAGGTTCCCCAATCCTTAAGCTTAGGGTGGGGCTAATCCCCAGGTCATTATGACAAAGCTAAAAGGTAGAAGGCAGACCTAACACACGTAGCTTGGCCAAAAGTAACTTTGTACAACCCAAACCATTCTGGCAAGGGATCTCTAACACTCCACTTTTTTTTAAATAAAGTATCTTAATAAAGTGGGGGGAAAAAAGCATCATGCATTTTCAAAAACCCATGTTCCAGATATAAAAATCTGTCAATATATTTATATATTGGGGCAGCTAGGTGGTGCAGTGGATAGAGCACCAGCCCTGGATTCAGGAGGACCTGAGTTCAAATCAGGCCTCAGACCCAAACCACTTACCAGCTGTGAGACCCTGGGCAAGTCATAAACCCTACTGCCTAGCCAAAAACAACAACAAGAACAAAAAACAAAAACAAAAAAAAAAACCCCAATATATTTATATGTTACACAGAGACTACAATAAACACATAGAACAGATCTGTCTATATGCTTTATTTGCAGTTACAAAACACAACTTTGAGATCATTTAAATCTCTATAAAATGAGGGTGGTCTAGATATATTACTTAAAATAGAACAAAACATAAAACAACCTAAAGGAAAAATTGAGAGGTATGAGAAAGGTTCTAATAATAAGTCCACCACTCTTTGACAAAAACTGCTGGGAAAACTGGAAAAGAATATGGCAGAAACTAGGCATAGACCAAAATCTCACACCATATACCAAAATAAAGTCCAAATGGGTTCATGATTTAGATAAACAGGGTGATACTGTAAGCAAACTGGAAAAGCAAGCAATCGTTTACCTATCAGATTTATGGAGAACAGAAAAATTCATGACCAAACAGGAGATAGAGAACATTATGAAATGCAAAAGGGATAATTTTGATTACATTAAATTGAAAAGTTTTTGCACAAACTAAGCCAATACAACCAAAATTAGGAGAGAAGCAGAAAACTGGGAAAGAATTTTTACAACCAGTGTCTCTGATAAGGGCCTCATTTCTAAAATATATAGAGAACTAATTCTAACTTATAAGAATACAAGTCATTCCCCAATTGATAAATGGTCAAAGGATATGAACAGGGAGTTCTCAGATGAAGAAATTAAAGCCATCTATAGTCATATGAAAAAAATGCTCTAAATCACTATTGATTAGAGAAATGCGAATCAAAACAACTGAAAGCAATAAAAAAAACTCAAATCAAAACAATAGGTACCACATCACAGCTATCATATTGGCCAACATGACAAAACAGGAAAACAATAAATGTTGGAGAAGATGTGGGAAAATTGGAACACTAATGCATTGCTGGTGGAATTGTGAAACGATCCAACCATTTTGTAGAGCAATTTGGAACTACACCCAAAATGTGCATACCCTTTGACCCAGGGCTGTATCCGAAAGAGATCATACAAATGGGAAAAGGACCCATGTGTACAAAAATACTTTCCTTCTTTGGTGGCAAAGAACTGGAAATTGAGGAGATGCCCATCAACTGAGGAATGGCTGAACAAGTTGTGGTAGAAGAATGTAATGGAATACTATTGTGCTACAAGAAATGATGAGCAGGCAGACTTCAGAAAAACGTGGAAAGACTTGTATGGTCTATGTTGAGCGAGGTTAGCAGAACTAGGAGAACATTGTACACAGTAACAGCCATGATGTGTGATGATTAATGTTGATAGACTAAGCCCTTCTCAGCAATGCAAGGATCTAAGACATCTCCAAAGGTCTCATGATGGAAAATGCTATCCACATCCAAAGAAAGAACTATGGAGTTTGAATGCAGATCGAAGCATACTATTTGCTAATTTTTTCCCTTTTGTTTTGTTTTTTCTTTCTGGTGGTTCCTCCAACTGGTTCTAATTCTTCCTTATAACATCACTAATGTGAAAATATGTTTAATAGGAATGTATATGGATAGCCTATATCAGATTGTGTGCCATCTTGGGGAGTGGGGGGGAAGAGGGAAGGGAAGAAAAATTTAAAACTCAAAAGCTTATGGAAGTGACTGTTGATAAATCAAAGCAAATTTAAAAAAAAGAAAGAAAAAATTTAGGAATTCAATTGGAAATTCAATCAGGAAAAGTAATCTACATGGGAACTTCTAGAAGAGTTTCTATTGTAAAGTTTATAATTTTTAGTAAGAGATAACTGGAAACAATTTCTTCTGAATTTTCAACATCTTTGCTAAATTATAGTTTAGAAGAGATGTTTTAAAGCAGTGGCATCAAACTCAAATAGAAAAGGTGGCCACTAAACCATAAATAAGGATCACCGGGGACCACATATTGACTTTGAAAACCACAAATTATCTTAATTTTATTGTATTTTTATTTATTTTGTTAAATATTTTCCAATTACATTTTAATCTGGTTCAGGAATATTGTAAACCACAAGTTTGATATCTTTATTTTTAGAGGATGCTAAGTTAGCTACTACTGAAAAGACCATGCATGCCAACATATAGGGACTAGTTTTTATAATTGCAGTGCAAACACTTCAACTAATACAACTTCCTCAAAAGATCTTTAAGAGATCCTTAAAAGATATCAGAACAAACCAAATATTCATCTATTACTTAATACATATATCATTAATCTCCATAACATTCTTGAACGAGATGCAGTTTATGTTTATATTGCAAAATCAAAGAAAACTAATTATTGCTAAGCTCAAAGTCAGTTTTTAAAAAGGATGTGATATGGTGAAATAACATTAAGAATACTGAAAAGACTGGTGTTCTGAATACTGGCTTCATCACTTAGCTACAGTGTTATTTACAAGAGTGGTTTTACCACAAAACCTGGTAAACATATAGCATTGTCATGAGTATCAGGTGAAAATGTATACATAAAAAGTATTTTGTAAATGATAAAGCATCATTCAAATGTAAATTATAAATATAGCAGAAATGGTAAAAGAATTCAAAACATCCAACTTCCAAAAAAAACTATCCTAGCCTTACAAATAAAATAAGCTTCTCACAAGCACGTACAAAATCTTATGTCCTCTCCCCAATTTCATTTCTTAGAAATGATGATAACAGAAAGGAAGAATGGAGAAAAGATGGGACAATGATGAGACAAAGTAGTAGTAACTCTGGGAATCTGTTCAGAGTATCTAACTTCTGTGTTTCAATCCTCTTTGGACCCCTTCTCCACCCCTACATACCAACACAATCCCTCACAAGTCTATAAACATTTTAAAAAAATCAAGTGATGATCCAACATCTCATTATCATTTGCCACTCTGCCACTAGAATGCTGCCTTAAAATAATAACATAATACAATGTGAATAATTTAAAAAGTAATTAATTTCGAAATTCTAAATCAGTTGGATCAATAAGTCTACAGAGTACCATTTTCTAAAAGATCTTTAAAAGAAAGCACAGAAATCACCAATTTCATCATTCTGTGACTTAAAGGACAATGAATATACCAGTATAATTAAGGAACTCATTATTTAAAATGCTAATAAGTGACAATCTTGGTACCTTAAGGTAGAAATTAAATTCGTAAGAAAAAGGCTCAGGAGAAAGAATACATTTCATTCAAAACAGACTGTACCTTCCGGTTTCTAATATATCCACTATATATTGCTTCTTTATTTTTCTCCTTCTTTTCAAAATCCTCTTTAGAGAGTACAAGTTCATGAACATCTTGAGAATCTGAAGGTTTGCTAATCATCTGTTGAGAATTAAAAAAAATTTATAAATACCTTTTAAAAAAAATTTAGAGTTAAAACATTAAAAATTTGATGTGGGTCTTTAACAATCTTTTTACTTACTCTGGCTGATTGTCCAACAAAGAAAACAGCTTGCTTGCCCCCAACACCAAAATATGAAATATCACTATTTAAACTACGAGGCACTGGTAATGGACGTACATATCCGGAATGATCACTAAAATAAAAGATTAGGTTAGTACACTGTGTATAAGCAATACATTTATTGCTAAGGTATGAATTACTATATTTTATACCTAATATTCCTCAAGCTGAAAAAAAGTTCTGTCTGAAGACAGAACTATGAGTCCAGGCATCATCTAGTTCAACACCTCACTGCCTTACCCTCTGACTACTTCTCCACTGTTTTTATACCATTACAAATGAAATGCCATCTGTCCAACTGATTTTCTTTTTACTATTCAGGGGGAAATCTACAACCTCTCTTGGTGAAAGAAGTATTATTGCCATGCATATTTTGTAAAATCAAGTACTCTTCTGTTTGCTTAACCTCTATTTAGAGGAGGAAAGAGCAAAGCAACATTTCTTTGTATATAAAAAAATTAAGCTTCAATTATCCCCTTTCTGGGCATACAGAATACAGATGAAAACTATGAAATATTAAATATTCTTGAACCATATCTCTGGTAAAAAAAGATAAAAAACTACAAAGAATTGTTTCAGTGGCAACACCAAGCTTGTTACTGGCAAAGGAAGCAGCTATCACTTGCAAAAACAGTCAACAAATACCATTTCATTTATCCTCAATGATGTTACTTTACTACCAAGTTTGGGACACCGGGACAATAAATGTCAAAAGTAAAAAGAAAATGGAGAGAAGAAAACAAAGGGATCCAAAACTGAGAAAACACAAGAAAATTAAATGTGGTCCAGGCTGATTCGGAACCACATTTCCTCAAGAGAGTGGGGAGGGATATGAAGAGCGTGGGGAAGGAGGGAGGGTTGGAAATAGGGTGAGAGAAGCGAGATATCAAAGCACTCCAATTTTTTATTTACTACCAACTTGCCTCAATGTTCCTCTTGCAAGAGGTAGATGGCCTCAGACACTTGCTAGTGTGTGATCCCTGTGTAAGTCACTTAATCTGTGTCTCAGTTTCCTCAACCATAAAATGGGACCAATAACAGCACCTACTTCCTAAGTCTTTTGTGAGAATCAAATGTGATAATGTATGTAAGGCACTTCAGGAATGCCTGTTTCCTAACTTCCTTCCTTGATCTACAAGATCTTGCTATCTCACACCAATCTCCACATACTTCATCACCCAAATAAAGATGAAAAGATTGTCATTGTTTTTTTGGCTAGGCAATGGGGTTGAGTGACGTGCCCACAGTCACACAGCTAGTGTCAAGTTCCTGAGGTCAGATTTGAACTCAAGTCCTCCTGACTGCAGGACGGGTACTCTATCTACTTCGCCACCTAGTTGCCCCAAGATGAAAAGATTCTTGAGAGTGAAGTCTTTTTATCTGGACTAGTTCTATATTAGGTGGCTAAAATTTTGAGATGGCATTTTAATCGTGGCAATTCTATTATGATTTAAAATAGGAAAAATAGACAAGAAGGATATCAAAATCAGACATTTAGTTAAAACATACTCCTGAAAAATATTAAAACATCAGAACTCTTCAACATTATTTCTACTTGGACCAGTTCAAATTTTTCAGTTGGAAAAAACATCAGCATCCATTCTAGTTCAATCCATTCCTAAAAAAGAATCCATGCTACACAACAAACCCAATAAATGGCCATCCAGTGTCTACTGGAAGACCTCCAATGCACTCCACTACCTCCTGAGGTAACTCATTCAACTTTTGAGGGGTAGGATTATGATTATTAGGAAGTGACAATGATTAAAAAGATAGAAAGCATCAATAAAACACTTTTAAAGACAAAAAATAATAAAATGGTTAAAGATTCACATAGGATGATAAAACCTGGAGTTTTGATTATTAGCTCCAGTGGAGGAAATTCTAACAAGTTAAACGACAGATCTGCTAAATTACGAGTATTCAATTCCATTCAATTCAAATTCAAAGTATTCAATTCAATTCTAACATTTATTTTCTGCCTACTATATGTTGCTAGGTAAGTACTATCATTTTTTCCATATTTTGAGGGATCTGCGAACTCATTAGCACGAGTACTCCTAACCCATCTATGTCTCTTCATCCTAGGTGACTCTTGTCTATATTCTCCAAAGAATCCTCCAAAATGCTCCCTTTGATATGCTTGGGTCCTTCTACTTGTTCTTCTAACTTTGCACTGAAACCAGTGGAGCAAGGGAGTTGCCCACAGGTCATTCCTCATTTCTGTCATATGACTAGCCCCTACCTTATTTTCTGGTCATAAATTCCTCTGGTGACATCCTTTCTGACATTTATCTAACCATAGAATTGGCCCGTTAATACATGTATCTTGGATAAAAACTATGGTTGGACAGTGAGCCTGGCCCATAGCAGAACAGGAAAATTTGGCTGCTCTGCCTTTGGGAAATCATACAATTTTAATGACCCCAAAGCTCCTCCAATGAAAAAAATACATCTTTCTAACAACAATATTCTTCCGGATACATAAATAGCTACAAATTACAAAATGCCACTAGTCCACAAATAATTAAACTTTAAGTCACCCAAAAGGCAATGGAGAGTCACATGTTAGTGTGAGCAGATTGCAATTCAAGAATTGCACATGAAAAGTGGCATAAAGAATGTCACATTCTAGATAATAGGAACCCAATGATCTCTCTCCCTGACAAACTCAGACCCCTCACAGCTTAGGGAGTATACAGTTATTCCAAACAATAAAAGGAGATGCCCAAGATAGCTCAAAAGGCAAGTTAACAGGGGCATCTAGGCAGCACAATGGATAGAGCACTGGCCCTGGAGTCAGGAGGACCTGAGTTCAAATCCGGCCTCAGGCACATAATGCTTACGAGCTGTGTGATTCTGGGCAATCGCCTCACCAGAAAAAAAGAAAAAAAAAAAGGCAAGTAAATAAAGATATTTAATGCCTTCAATTCTTGGCTACTCCAGGAATACCAAATATGGAAACCTATCACTCTAATACCTACTAGCATATTTTCCTTTGCTTTACATGCATAACATTCAGATTATTTTTTGCCAAATTATTTTTACAGCTAGCCCATTATCCATTAGTTTTAAATAATGTAAATGCTTTATACTGCAAAATGAGGCCCCCAAAACAACACCAAACAAAATTACATCTGTAAGGAAGAAAATGATATTTCAATAGCTTCTTTAATTGTTCCTTCTTACCTCCAGTCTACTCCCACTCCAATACAAGTTTCATGTTCCTATATAATATTCCTAATGTACAACTTATTTCATTCCTTTACTCAAAATTCTTTAGGGCTCCTCATTACTAAATGCATAATCTCTTTATCTAGTCATTCAAGACACTACACCAATCTAGCTCCAATCTTTCCAATCTTATCTATATTACTTTCCCCTTTATGCACTCTACAGTCAAGCTGAATGGAAAGTGCTCATTGTCACCTATTCTTATTCTGACCCCTTCTTCACCATGCCTTTGCTTACATCATTCTTTCGTGGTTAAGATGGATGGATGCTCCCAAACCTCTGTGTCTTTTGATATACTTCTCTATGCTTTTTGACATGTCTTTCTATAAGGCCTACCTCAAACTATTAAAATTTTATGAGCTCTTGCCCAATCTTCCCACATGAAAGTGATTTATCACACCTTAAATCCTCCGTATCATTTTTCATAGTCTATTCTTTTATACTTATCCATTTTCCTTTATATCATAGCTATTCATGCATTCCTCATTCCCCACCTCTAATGAATTACAATGTCATATTTGTCAGGTTCTTTATCCTATCTATTATTATTGTAAACCTATCACAAGGCCTTGTTTATAATAAGCATCTAATATTTGATAAATGTGAAACCAAATAAAGCCAATACTAACTTCAATCTACAGCTCCCTCTAACACAGTTGTCTCCTACTTAAGAGGATACAGAACTATGCTTTCACTTGAGATATCAAGTGGGTCAGGCAAGTCCTACACACCCATGCTTAAAAACCTAAGAATATTCTCAGTTCATACACCATACAAATTGCAGGACTTTCTTGACACTACTCAAGCAGACTTTCTCTTTGACCTGATATGTTACTGGTTTTTCTGACTCTCACTTTGTCCTTAATAGCTTGTTTCAGACTGTAGATTCCAAGGTTTCCTTCCCATAACTGCTCTAGTAAGGTATACAGACATACCCTTTACTTCAAATACTTCTCAGACTTTCTGTTAAAAATCTGGCATCTACTTCATCCTCTATTTGAATGGGCTCACTTTCCTTCTGACCTTTTTTTGTATCCTCTTCCTGTCCCAGATATTGGCCATACTGGACTGAACTGGACTCATTGTACTATAACCACAAAACCTCAGTCAGCAGCAGATGGGAGGACCCAAATTCAAGCCCAACTCCTTAACAGGATCAAGACAAAAAGCACACTGCTAGCTCTGCAAACCAATCTGACCCCTAATACGTTAGGAAACTATCATTAAATGTCTCCAAATGTTTAATTTCAGTAACATTTTTTCTCAAGAGTTCACACTGCAGTGAACCAGAGGCATTAAAGAAATACAGAGATGTAGTATGATTCCAAGAATTCTTCATCTGACTTCTTGTAATGATCTAGGAAGGAATCATGTGAAATATGTACTAAGAAAACTAAGCAACCACCACTCTAGAATTATGAATCAATCTTCCTTCTCCTCAACATTTTTTCACCCTCAAAACGTATTATGGTACAGTGGAAAGAGTGGATTTATAACTAAAAGGCCCAAGTCAAAATCCCAGCTCTGACATGGACTATGCGACATTTTAAGTCACTTAACCTCAGTTTCCTCAACAGAAAAATGAGGGGCTTGGACTACATGATCTCTGCTTTCTAGTTCTAAATCTATAATCCCATGATACTATGAGAAGACAATAGGATAGCAGGTATTAACAAAACTTTGAAATTTTAAAAATATTTTTGTTACCATTAAACTAAAATTCTAATAGGAAACATTTTCATATCAAACATATCTACATAAAAACATACAGTTTCTGAATTTAGGCCCTCTATTTATAACTACATATGTATCAAAACACTTGAGATCTTCCACAATTTAATTTATATATCTAAATTCGTGACTTCAATGTTTTATCTTCAAGAACACAATTTCCCACAAAAATAGTGAATAAGGCTAACCTTTCAAAGTCACCTTTTCTTGTAAACTTTGACAACCTATATACAGCCCAGTTGTTAAGCTGCTTAGAGGTCATTCCTCTTCCATTATCAATCACTGCAACTGCAGGTTTTCCTTGTGATTCATCGAAAAGCTATGAAGAAATAGTATGTTCAAAAAGAATTATGAATACATGCAAAATTAAATCTCAAACAAATACAATTAAGTCTGGACAATGATCTTACCAATTTGATGTGAATACTTCGAATACCAGTATTACGTGAAGTGGCAGAGAGTGAGTTATCAATCAATTCTGCAAGGGCAAATGCTAGAAAATATTAAGAAAACAATTATAGCACCACTTTTCAACTCCAATATGTTTTTAAGTAAAGAGTCCCAATGACTCCAGAAAACAAGAAATGAGAACTTCTAGCTTTTAACTTTAAAAGGAATTTTGGGGCAGATTCAATATTATAATTCCAATTATCACCCTCTAAAACTTATGAAAAAGGTGGAAATATCATGTATCATGTTTCTAAGTACCCTGATTATTTGTTAGGAATAGGTTGAACTCAATGAAAAAATACTTATTACAATAATGTAAACTTAGAAATATCTAGAAGTACCTTAAATCATTTATCCCCAAAACCAGTTTAAAAGTGATACTGATTCCTAGACATAAATTTCTCAATGGTGGCATCATCACTATGATCAAAAAATAATTATCACTCATTTAAATGGACCTCAATGCCAGGGCCATAATAGTGAGTAAGACAAGCACAATCCCCAACCTCTAAACAAAAGCTTAAAATTCTAAGCAGATCATACTGAAAAGAATTGATATATAGAAATACAGACACCTGAACAATGATTATTTAAATGAATATAGAATTCCTCATGAGCCCACGCCGCAAAGAAACCAATCTTTCTTTTTGTGCTAAGAATCAGAAGGCTTCCTATCAGATATTCTACCCTGAAAGTCTTGACCGCACATTGAAGAATTCAGTATGGGTCAATCAAGATTTTTTTTTATTACAATAGTGCAGAAAATAAATTATTAATTATTAAGTGCCTAACTACAGAAAGAATTTTATAGGACTGAAGGAAACATGGTATAGTACAAAGAATACCAGCACTGCAGTCAGAAAACCTGTGTTAAAATGTAGACTCTACCATTTACTCTATCTGTGTTAATCTTGGGTAAGTCACTTAATCTGTGATCTTGATTCCTTATCTGTAAAATGAGAAGCCTGAACTACACAGTCCCTAAGGACTGTCTGATTCTATGATCCAGTCTCCTACCCTCTATACCACCTAATATGAATAGATATATACATTAGGTCAGTGATTCAACAAGCATTTATTAAGTACTTACTATGTGCCAGACACTGTGCTAAGCAATAAGAATACAAATACAAGTAGAAAGAAAGTCTCTGCCCTCAAGGAGATTACATTCTAATGGAAGAAGACAACATGAGGGGAGAACAGCAGGGAAAATGAAAGTACCCAGCAAAGGGGCAGAGGAGGGGCAGCGGATAGAGCACTAAACTTAGAGTCAGGAGGACTTGAGTTCAAATCGAGCCTCAGACACTTACCGGCTGGGTGACCCTGGGCAAGTCATTTAACCCCAACTGCCTCAGAAAAAAGTGGGGGGGGCAGGGGAGAACCTGACAAGAGAACATGGTAGATAAAGTCCTGTGGTGTTAAGTGAGAAGCATAATATGGAGAAAAATAGTGACATGGTTGGCCTGGGCCTTTCTTTAAAATGGAAGTTCGGGGGTGGGGGGGAGCTAGGTAGCACAGTGGATAGAGCACTGGCCCTGGATTCAGGAGGACCTGAGTTCAAATCCGGCCTCAGACACATAACACCAGCTGTGTGACCCTGGGCAAGTCACTTAATCCCATTGCCTAGCCCCCCTCCCTGAAAAAAAGGAGATTCTGGGAGGAACTGGCTAATCAGAAGACAAAGGGGTCGGGGTATAATTAACTTCCAGAGTGAAGAGATTTCTATGACCCAGAAGACAAAGTCTTCTGGAGAGGAGTTAAGAGTGCAACCTGGAGAGAATTTTTGCCTTATACATATGTAAGCCAAAAAATTTAAATCAAAACCGGGACCATAGTAAGTACTTAATGAATATCTGTTGTGTGTGGTCACAGATAAACGCTTAATATGTATGGAGGCAAAGATGAAATATCTTTAGGGTAAGGATAAAACGTAACTTAAGATGACAATCAGGACTAGGGCAGGACAATCCAACAATTATGGAAGCTCGCTGTCAAGATTATCTCACAGCAGCTACTTAACACATAGAAAGGCATCCAAAATCTTGTTATCTCCATTTCATTTATCTTCCTATCTTCCCCTAAATTCTCAATTACTATCTATTTGACTACCACTAACACAATATCTGTCTTCTTGTTTAACAATGTGCTTTACCTAGTTCAAGGTAAAGACATCAAGCAAGTTTCATCTCAGTAAGCATGAGTTGTTCTTTGTAGTCACCTCCTTAATTAAAAAGGAAAGGTGACACACCTAAACTGTACATTCCTACTCTCCAACACAGAAGCACAACCTAACTACAACTGTTAATACAGACTTGGTGATAGAAGAACAATAGTTAGACCTTTCCAATCATCTTAAAAAGCCAAGGGACAATTCCACTTCTAAAAGCTTCTTTTAAACCATTTCCGCTTGATTCCACACTATCCTCTGAAAAGGGTTGGTTCAAAGCTAATTTTCTTAGTTCATTAAGGTTTCATGAATACTTATTTTCCCCCAAGCTTTAAAAACAACTTTTTACTAAGAAACCACTGAAAGTCATGCTAATAGTAGCAAAACATTGGCCATTTGAATGAAAAGTTTAATCCATAAACAAAAATTTCTCAACATACTCAGATTATCAGAAGCACTGAGATAAGACAATTTTTAAAAATATATACCTTTATCTACATCCAAGTTATTGCTAGTAGACTAAATTGCTAAGAGACTGAAAATGTTAAAGCTAAAAAAAAAAAAAAAGTAGTTCTTCCTTATTCAATACGCCTTTTAAAAAAGGTTATAATGACTCTTTAGGCACATATTACTACAGTGTTAAGAAATAATGATTATGAATACAGAGAAGCATGGAACTTATTCTAACTGATGCAAAATAAAGTTAAGAAAAACCAAGAAAACATATACACAATAACAACAACAATGTAAAAACAATAAACAGAAGAAACGGAACGCTGTGCGATTATATAAGAACCAAACTTGGACCCAAAGAGATATGAGAATAAATCATCATCTTCTTTGCAAAGACAAGAGACGGTGGCTATGAAACACCACTTATGATGTTCAACTTGGTTGATATGTTGTTTACTTCTGATGAACTGTTTCTTTTTTTCTCTTTTTTATTCTTTATATGACATCTATAGATATAGATATTCCTTATATATTTCTTACATAAGCAATGGCTCTCAGACGAAGAGGGGAAAGGGAAAGTAGTGAGAAATGTAGTGATGTAAAAACTAAAGATTTCAATAAAAATATTTTTAAAAGACTGATGTTAAATTTAAAGCTAAACAAGATTTAATACTTCATGTTTTTAATTCTTCACTCTTCAACGAAATAGACATTCTCTCCAAATGTTGAAATCACAAACCATCTGTGCTTTCTCATTCTGAGAAATTCTTCTCCATGTCATTTCATAAATCATACAGAGAACCAATACCCTTACTCTAGATCTATTAATATTCAGAGGATAACAGTGAAGTACTTGGGTTGTCCATCTGTTACCCCACTAATGTCACTACATGACCTTGATATCTTTTTTTAGGGGATCTTTTAAGCAATTTCCTGGGATAACCCCTTATTGGTGGTAGCAACACAGTAGCCTATACTCACTCTTTGTCTCTTCAGAGAGACTTTGAAACATCAGTCTCCAAAGAATCACAATTATAGGAATCTAAAGGACGATGAAGATTGAATAAACTATTCAAAAATCCAAAATATAAATACTGTCTCTACATGACCTTATCCAAGTCACCTAAACTTTCCCAGGGTCAGTTTTTATCTATAAAATAACAGGTCTTAACCATAATACTTCCTGGGGCCTTCCTACCTCTCAGAGCAAAAGGATTTATAGCTGATAAACATGCACTGGTTTTAACTGAAAATCTCCTTGTGCATTAACCACACCCCCCCCCCCCCATAAATGTGCTAGGTGATACTTAAACACTTTAAATTCAGCCTGAGTTTTTTTTTCTTTCTTAGAAATATAATTTCTGGAAGGCATCCTTTTTCACAACTAAGTAGATGCCTGAGGCTAAGGGTTTGGTGACTCTGTTTGCTTTTCAGTTGCAGGCTTCTTTCTTAGATTTTTGTCTTCTACGAATTTATAGCTATCTCTTCTATCATAGTTCATTCTACCCTGTAGCTACTCTTTATGGTCATATAAGTTGGTGAACAGTTGTAGGCAGCTGTAGTGTCTCCCACCCCCACCATGACCTTCTGTATTAGATTTTTTAAGAGTCCAAAGAAACTACTATATAGCCCTATCTCCCCATATCTAATATCTGTTAAGTTAAATTTTTAACCCAAGTCTAAGACTTTACATCTATCCCCATTAAATTTGTCTTACTTTGCTTAAGTTTAGTATCCTAGTGGCCTAGCTCATCCACATTTACAAGGATTCACACTATAATGCATCACGTTAGCTATCACTCCCATGTTTGTGTCATCTGCAAATTTGAGACATGGCTTTTTAAAAATTAGATTAGATTTTATTGATCTGATTGAATATTGATTGAATAGATGTTATTGAACCAAAAAAAGGGGGGGAAGGGGATACCATTTTTAAATATAACACCATTAAAAATTTAGAAAAGAATCATATGAAATACTTTTCATTGGTATCACAAGGGATGAATTCATAATCAAACCAGGGATTAGACAATTACAAGAGAAAATGGATAATTCTAATTACATGAAATTAAAAAGCCTTTCCACGAATAAAAGGGGAGAAAAGGGGGGGGAAAATTCATATCAATAATCTCCAAAAATGGTTTAGGATCCAAGATAAACATGTCAAAGCTCAAAAGTCACTCCTCAATAGATAAGTGACCCAAAGGAGATAAAACATAAAAAAGGAGAAAAAATAATGGGAATCATAGATGTTAGACTGGTACATTAATGCAATATTGATAGAAATTATTCTGGAAAGCAGTTAGAAATTAAGCAAAGAGAGTGATCAAATGTCTATATTCTTTCACCCAGAAGTTCCACTGCTAGGGACGTGCCCCCGAAATGCGTCAATGACAAAAAAAAAAAAAAAAAAAAAAAAAAAAAAGCCTGATTTACCATAATATTTATAACAGCATTTTTTGCTGAAACAAACAATAGTACACAAACCAACACATTGAGCGATGGCTAAATAAGCTGTGGCCCACAAATGTAATGGACATTACTGTACCATAAGAAACAACAAGTGAGCATGGAGAAGCAAATAAAAGCATAAGATACTGATGGAAAATAAAATAAGCAAGAAAACAATATATACAATGATAACTATGTAAGCGAAAACCAAAAAAAAGAGAGGGGAATAAATGCCACAAAATTAATGAACATGTTTAGCCCCAAAGAAGAAGGTACCTCAACCCAATTCTTTGCAATAGTGTGGAACTATAGGTGTAGAACACTGCAAATAAAGCTAGACTTTTTTAATATGTTGGTTAGTTTTGCCAAAAATTATTTTTCCCCTCGTAAGCACAGGGGGTTAACTTTCTGGGAAGGAGAGGGAGGAAAGATACATTAGGAAATATAAACGATGTAAAAAAAAAGACATTAAAAATTTAGTTTACAAATATACAAAGTTAAGAATAAAGTGAATAGGAATAAATGTTAACTCTTTAACTTGGGTTTAAAAAATAAACCTTACAAATACAGGAGAGGGAAAAAACACTGCTAAAAAGCAATTAAACTCAAAGCATCTGAAGATTTTAGTACACTACAAGCTCAATATGAGTGGAAGAGTGATATGGCAATTAATAAAGTTGATATAATCTTCAACGTGCTAAGAAGCACAACTTCCAGGAATCAGAACCTGGTCAGATCACATCTGGAGCACTGTGTTCAATCAGGAAGGGAATTGATAAGCTAGAGAACACCTAGAGGGGCACCATAATGACAGTGAAGTAAAGGGTCTTAAATTCATGCCATATAAAGAACTGAAGGAACTAGGGATGATATTTAGCCTAGAGAAGAGCTATTTTTAGAAGAATCACAAATGTGCAAGAGAAGCTATAAAAGTTACAAGCTGAATTTATTATACATATTTAGAAAGAAAAGCAAGTTCTAAATAGCAGAAATTTGTGATTTCACATGCAATGCTCTCCTTTAGTTCTACAACATAGACGGAAATGCTCATTTTCATTTCATGTTTAACTTCAGAATAAAAATAAAATTACATTTTTAAAGAGGGAGCATAGAAAGGACATTATGCCTGTCTTCAAACTGCTGAATAAATTATTAATAAAATGAACATTATAATTCAATTAAAATTATGAAAATAGGAATATTAAGAAGCATAAAGCAATGAAAGAATAATCATAATGACAAAATGTTGTAGGGAGATGAAGAAACATACACACAAATACAGAAATGAATTAGATAAAATATAAGAAGACAGAAATAATAATTGTCTTCTGTTTAAATTCTTTAAGATAATTTAAGTGTAAATCATAATACACTTGATTATAATAATTTTTTTTAAATAAAATTAGATGGAAAGGTAATTTGTAGAAACTGAAAGTATTGCAACAGGTGTGACTAAGACTTGTAGGAAAAAGAAAGGTAGAAGTAACCAAAAAGAATTCTATGAGGACTGAAGTGGAATACTTACGTAAGGGATTTTGTCCTTCACTGGCATAATATTCATACATGCCACTTTTAACCAATGTGTCATAGTGTGGTAAGAAGTCAATTCGTTCCTTTGTCGCAGAAAGCAGTAATTGATTGACTGACTGAAGTAAGTACAAAGTGACCCCGTCTTGAACATTTTCATCTATAACCAAGAAGAAAAATCTGAAATGCCCAGCTAGCATTTAGAAAAACTTTGTAAAAATTGAACTTTCTAACACTTTTCAACAACTATGAAATATCTCTCAAAAAGCAATACACAAAAAAAGACTTTAGCATACAATCAGAATATACTTTTATGCCATTTAATTATCTATGAAAAACAAAAGTTAAGCTTTAAATTCTTTTATTCATTTAATCAACGTAACTACCTAATATGTATAAAATACTGTGATACATGCTGGGGTCTTACAACTTTGGTGCCAAAATAAATTATATCAATTTTTAAATTCTAGCTTTTTAAAACCATTACAAAAACATGGGATAAAGTAAAATCTGGAGACAAAGGCAGTATTTACATCATAAAAGCCCAACCACTATATATTTATCACTATGTATTACATAATTTTATTGCCTGTCATGTATTTTAACATGCTAAATGTAGAAACATGAAGAACTTATGAACATTACTTACTGAAGTTATCAACAGTAATTTCTTTCCTATTGGTTGTTGTAATAACAAACTTCTCCCCAGATGAAATCCCAAGTGCCTAGCAAGAAAGGGAAAACAAGCCAGTTATATATAGTAAATGATAAATTTAAATTCATAGAAGAACAGAGAATTGAACAATTACTATAATTACTTGACCTCAATTTATTTATAAAAGCATTCTTACTTATTATGCAAATTGAGCTTCTGTAAAATAGTAACATGAGAGATCCATGCTTTGAGTATCTTGGTGACTATTAAGTTATGAGACTGGTCTTGCAAGGCCTTCAGAATTAAGCATTCAACAATGATTAACATTTGAAGTAGCCTTTCTCTGAGTCAATCATGTCAATAAACTAGAGGTAATATGTACTATTTATGTAATAAACAAGAGGTTTGTATTATTACTGCAAGTCAGCAAAAAAGAGTGACAATTATTTAAATACCAAATTTTATTTAACAGTAAACCTGCAAAGAAAGCCTATGGTGTGCTAAAAGAAGCTTACAGGGACTAGTAATTTTTAGCTCAAGAATCTCTGACTAGCATAAAAGAGAAGTCCAAAAGGAATATGGGGTGTGAAGTCTGAGGACTTTAAATTCAAATCCAAACTATACTATTTATTTGCCTACACGATTTTGCAAAAGTCACTTACATTCTTTGGACCTCTTTGTTCATCTCTAAAATATGGGAGTTGGACTAAAAATAATCCATAAATTCCCTTGCAGATCTAAATATAGTAACTTGGAATATCTCTATTTTAGATGTATTTATGATATACAAAACGGTCCTCTATCTTAGAACATTTGAAAATGTTCATGACTAATCAAAGATTTAATTCAAATAGGTACTGTGAAAATGAATTAAATTAGAAAAATCTGTTCTGAAAAAAAAAACTTGGACAGAACAGAAGTTTACAACAAACTTTTAATGATGAATAGAAACCTCAAAGAGAGACTAGACTTAAGGTTTGTTATCTTTCAAAGGAAGCAAGACAAAATTAAAACATTTCAGCAAAAAATAACAAGTTAGGAAATGTCATTTCTGATGTGACCCAGAAACAAACTATGACATAAAAACTTCAATATGCTGTTATCCCTCTTGGACCCAAGAGATTTTGTATGTCAAAACACAATACAATGTCACCTTTCTATGATATTGATTGTTCATAAGTTGACAGAATTTATTTTGTTTAAACAATCATGTCTGAAATTCAGAAATTCTGAACTGTCTGAAACGTTGCGTAAAACATAGGACTCAATAATTAGTCTCTTCAATAAATAATAATAAAACAACATTCCAGTTCACAGTGTTCTTAATGTCTAACAATTTTTGACCAAAAACGTTACTACCCAGCTCATCCACCTTCTTCAATCAAATCTAGCTATGGAGTTCTTTTACCTATTACCAAAAATCAAGGCCCCATCCAAAGTAAAAACAATCTGCTTTGTTTTGATATATTAAAAAAAAAATATGCTGTAAGTTCTGAAGGCAATTACAAAAAGAGTTCCAATAATGACAACATCCTGGAAGAGATGGGGAGAATTACTAGCCATTTCTCTATCATGGTACATGCACTCCAGGCATTTTCTCTATCCTCCATCTATTAGAATCCTAGACTCTGTGGCCCTGGGGCACTGGACTCAAGTGCCTTTATACCTCATCTTGCCTTGAATCAGGTCTTCATATCACTTTCCAGCCTTTTTCAAACCTATTAGCATGCATGCTCCTCCCACATACATGCTTTCTAGTTCTGTTATTATTGTCTTCTAGCCATTAGGATGTAAGCTACTGGAAGGCTAGGGATTCTCTTGCTTGCTTGATTACACAGTGCTTAACACAGTGCTGATAAATAGTAAGGGCTTAACAAATGCTTTATCATGCTGGAAAAGATGTGGGAAAACTGGAGCACTAATGCATTGTCAGTGGAACTATGCCCAAAGGGCTATAAAAATGTGCAGCCTTTGACCGAGCAATAGCACTAGAATTCTAGGGCTATATCCCAAAGAGATTATACAAATGGGAAAAGGACCCACATGTACAAAAATATTTATAGCAGCTTTTTGTGGTGGCAAATAATTGGAAATTGAGGGAATGCCCATGAATTGGGGGGTGGCTGAACAAGTTGTGGTATAAGAATGTAATGGAATACTACTGTGCTATAAGAAATGATGAGCAGGCAGACTTCAGAAAAACCTGGAAAGACTTGTATGGTCTATGTTGAGCGAGGTTAGCAGAACTAGGAGAACACTGTACACAGTAACAGCCACGATGTGTGATGATTAATGTCGATAGACTAAGCCCTTCTCAGCAATGCAAGGATCTAAGACATCTCCAAAAGTCTCATGATGGAAAATGCTATCCACATCCAAAGAAAGAACTATGGAGTTTGAATGCAGATCGAAGTATACTATTCGTTATTTTTTTCCTTCTGTTTTGTTTTATTTCCTCTTTCTGGTAGTTCCTCCTATTGGTTCTAATTCTTCCTTACAACACCACTAAGGTGAATATATTTTTAATAGAAATGTATATGTATAGCCTATATCAGATTGTGCAGTGTCTTGGAAAGGGAGGGGGGAAGGGAGGGGGAGAAAAAATTTTAAACTCAAAAGCTTATGGAAGTGATTGTTGACAAATCAAAATAAATTAAGTCAGAAAAAAAATAAATGCTTTATCATTCATTTCTAATGTGACTACATTAAAAGGGAAACATTCATTTGGATGTTTAAGTTGTGTTCACTAGTTTAAGTTTCAGTTCTTTAAACTTCAAACATGTTAAATTGTCCTATGAAGTTGAAGACAGTGCTGATGATGATCATCTGAATAATGGTATGGTTGAGTAAACAAATGCCAATTTGTAACAAATGGTCCTATCCTGCACACAGCATATCAATTACTTAACTATTTCAAGGATCAGTGATTTTAGTACTGAGAGTATGCACCTTCAGTGAAGGAAGATCACGGCCCCACTGCCTTATTAACAGTTTAAGAAGTTCTTGTGACCAAAAATGAAAATGTCCTGGTGGCCAAACCTCAAGTGATATACAAACTCATATGCAAATTGCTTGGCAGCCCAAGGCATCTAACCTGACGGATGACTAAACTATAAAACCTAGCCTAGGTTGAAGCAAGGCCAGAGACGTAGGCCTTAACCTTAGACCTGCAGACAACAGGCCTACATATGACACTTTTTTCAGAATGCAAGAACCTGACAAGTTTCAGTTTCACTGGTATTGTTTTTGGGAACAGTTGCCTGCATGCCACAATGAGGCAATAAATGAAGGCTGAACAAATTATGATAAAATAACGAACTTCAACTTGAAAATACCACAGGTCACATCAATCATGTCCCTATTTAATAGACTCCAGTTGCTCTCTATTCCCTCCAGGATTAAATATAAAATCCTTTATTTGGTTTTTAAAGGCCTTCATAACCTGGACCCTTTCTACTTTTCAATCTTCTAACATCACACTCCACCGGCACCAGCCCTATGTTCTTACTAGATGATCAAGTGACACTGGGCTCCATGCTACTCCTCACACAAGACACTTCACCTCTATGGCATTTTCACTCACTGTCCCCTATGCTTGGTATCCCATCCATTCTCATCTCTGCCTCTTGGCTTCCTCGAAGTCTCAACTAAAATCCCTCCTATTCACAAAAAGCCTTTCCTGATTCCCCCTTGAGTCCAATGACCTCCCAGCTAGATTATCTCCAATTTATCACGTCTATATCCTTACAGTATTTGCATGCTGTCTCCCTATGAGTTTATTAGTTTATAGCTCTTCAAGGGCAGTGAGCTGTTTTTGCCTATCTTTATATCCTCAGAGCTTAGCACAGTACCTGGCATACAGAAGTCATTTAATTAAGCACTTGTTTGATGGCTTGATATAAAAGTCCACTGAGCAGCAAAGTCTTTACAAAATTCTTTACAAAGTCTTTACAAAAATACAACATCACTTAACGTGGACACAGGTAGCATATCTACCAACCAAAATGAGCAGAAAGCTAAAAAATAAATTATACTTAAAGTAACTAGAGTATACAAAATACTAAGACACATATAGAAACTATATGAATAAAACTGAAAAAAAAAACTCTTTATAAAAATATAGACAGAGTAAATTCATTATTCCATGAATAGACTGAACCAATACAATAAAAATGACAACACTACCTAATTTACTTACTTAGTGCCATACCTAGAAAAAAAAATTAAATTAAATTAATCTGGAGAAACAAAAGGTCAAGAACCACAAGAGAGATAATGAAAAAAAGTGGAAATGAAGGAGGCATAACAATAATAGATCTCAAATATACTTCAAAGAGTAATCATCAAAACGAATTGGTACTAGTTTAGAAATAGGAAGGTCTCAATGGAACAGATTAGGTACACAACGTATAAAAGAAACTATGGACAAAACTATAACTCACTATTTGACAAAAACTGCTGGGAAAACTGGCAAGCAGTTGTGACAAAAATGAAATATAGATCAATATCTCACCCTGAATAGCAAAATAAGTTCTAAATCAGTACCTGGCTCAGATATGAAGAGTGATATCATTTATAAATTAGAGAATCAAGGAAGAAATTATCTTTCAGATCTACAAAGGATGAGTTCCTTATCAGACAAGGAATAACAAGGATTACAGAAGATAAAATGGACAATTTTGTTTACATAAAACTAAGAAATTTTAAGCACAAATATTTTACGTTAATTATATATGTATTATATATATAGATATATAATATATAGATATATAAATGGATATTATATGTGTATAATATGTTATGTTATAATTATATTATAATTTATAATTATATTAATTTGAGAAATGTTTAAGTACAAATCTAATGCAACTATACAGGAAGGCAGAATCTACTAGACTTGGCAACAGACTGGAAAAGGGGAATTAGGGTTTGAGAGAGAGGGAGGAGTCAAATACGACAGCTAGTTTACAATCCTGGGTGACTGATAGGATGGTGGTGCCCCTGACACTAATAGAAAAGCTGGGTAGACAGGAGGGTTTGGGGACAAATGAGTTCAGTTTTAGATTTGTG